AAGCTTCACCCCATTAAACGAGCAGGCGGTCATTCCCCTGCGTTTTAGTACCGTCACGATACCATACAAAGCGTCACAAGTTGTTATCGTAGAGTTCTCGGAACTCGTTGTTGGCTGCATGGAGGGACTCGGGGAATACCAATTTCCTTCTTCGTCTCATATAACTATTTATGCATATTGCTTCATTGATTTGCGCTTTAATAAGAGTTTCTGACGAAATTAAGTGGATTATTTATCACGTTTGATGAATTTATTTTCATTTTATATTAGGCTTGGTGATTTACAATGTGCATTTGATAAATGCAGTTACTTTTGTAGAAAATCTTATCAGTTGTTGATAATCCTCTGTGACTGTATGCAGTTCTTTTCCAAGCATTTTGCTACGTTACGTAGTTGTCAACGCTCCTGCTACTGGTGTCTGTGAGCTGGAACAAATATCCCGAAATGAAGTAAGAATATTTTCTGCTTTTGTGCATGAAGTTTTGTGCGATTTTATCCTTGGGGTAGTGAAAATTTGAGTTCATTTATTTACCTGACATTAGACAATGAATTCAGTACAGATTTTGAAAAAAAAATAGTTTTGGCTCACGCCTAGTTGTAGAAAAACTAGATACTAAAAGAAAGACAACTTCATCTTCAAAATTTAATTGAAAATGCAAAACAAAAACATTTGATCGAAAATTAAAAACGATTTTTCAAAGTAAATACCGGTGGTTATATTCGAAGACAGCTGTTTTCTTTTCCCAGTGAATTGTTTGAAAGTGAGGATACATGCAAGACTGGGTTTAAAATAATAAATAGCAAAGCGAATATTTTCTATTCCACATATTCAAAGATTTAAACCACGTAGTAGAAAGTTCGAAAAAATGAATGACGTTTCCTGAAATCATATAGAAAGTTTGCAACAACCATTATTTCGCACTTCCAGAATAGCAAACCAATTAGATACTAATGCATTTATATAAATTATTATTCCGTCCTTCGAGCTGCAACTCCACTTTTTGGAGAGCACCAGCCGCCACTGGCCTTAAGTAAATAATAATAATAATAATAATAAATTGAACCTGAGCGCCAATGGTAATCTCAAGGACGAGAACTTCATTTCGCCGTAAATGGGTATAAAAAGCAGGGAAGAGACCCTACCCTGCATGCTTTGACCGCTTCTCCGCGTGTAACATCCGAGGAAAGGTTTAAGAAATACTAGAGCATTGGGATCATCCCTCGGGCGAGAGTCTTCACCATGAAGGTACCACAGCCTTCGCTTCCTTCGAACACATGAACTGACACTGATAACTTCAGTTATTACATATTTTAAATTTAAAATATTGAATATTGGAATTCATTATTTACAAACAAAACATTTAAAACGTAAAAACATCGAGCACTGATCATAGATGCTAAAAACATCGGCTGTACAACATCGATATCGCTCTTGCCTCCAAAGTTTTCTACAACCAGTACAGTGCAGCTGAGTTTGTCGAAAGCAAATAGTGAAATGGGTCAGTTCTAATTCTCAAGCACAAATGAAAACATTACTTGTGAATATGTAAACTTTAAATCGAAATAAGTTTCAAAACATGTAAGAAAGTTAATCATGTTAGATATTTATTAGGTAATAGGGAAGCATTATTCACACTTGACTAAGCAGGGATTCTCGATCGAACACTGACTACCAACAAGGTGTTGCACTCTCGTGACCAGACGGGCAACACCTCGCTTCGGACTATAATCTGCAAATAATGAGAAGATCCATGTCATCTCAATGTCCTTTAATTGAATTTATAAAATGAGTAAAAAATACGATAGTAAGTTTGGCTAGTAAAGGGAAACAAGAGGAATTGTGACATTTAATTTAAATCAAAATTATTTTTAATAATGGAACATTATTACAATACAACAAAGCGGATTAGTGTTATGCAATAGCAAAGCGTGAGAGCATAGTGCTATAGAAACAATGGTATCAAAAAACGGATTAGAGAAGAAAGTATAATTGAGGTGAGAAAATTGGAGATGACTGTAAGCCGTGAGCAAGTAAAGATGTGGAGGAAAGGAAGTTAGTTGACGGGACAAGAGATATGCGTAGAATTCGCAGTAGATCGTAATTGTAGCTGAAAGAAGAGACGAACAATTTGTACCATCTAAATGGGATTTAATTAAGAAACTATGTTTCCCAAGTCAGGAATGATAGAAACGGAACATAATTGTGTACGAAAAATAATGGTTGGAGAGGATGGAGTACTCGTAGCAACTGAAAGTGAGAGTACAGGAGTGAGTATACAAGACTAGAGCGGCCAAGTATGCAAAGAGGCAAGTAATACGTATTTAAGAAATTACGAACAAATTTAATATTAAATGTACAAGGTCAAAATTGTTATAGAATGTTAAGATTATTAGTAAATCAAATTCCTATAGTATGAGTTAAAAATGGCCATGGTAAAAATATCATAAATTTTAAAATAGAACAGGTTTGAACGTGTGTGTGAATGCGAAATTTTGTAAATATGTGTGAATATGAATATAAGAACTGAATATAAATATTGCTATCAATAATAGAATTGTTTATGAAATTAAAGTCCAGACGAAGAAAAGATTCAAAACTAAATAACAGTTAATTAGGCACTTCTGTAATAGTACAATTTTACGTGTTTTTACTTCAAAATATTGATGTTCCATGAGATATAGAAACCAATATTTTCTCTAGTCTAACAATAAGTAATTTTACCAGTCGAATTCTAGTACGAGCGCTTGATTTTCAGGCCGACGTAAGTAGCGTAAAGAAGCCCTGAGAACGTGTAAGAACAGAAAACCCCACGTAGTGCGTCTTGTTGGAAATATAATTAAAAACTGAGCTAACAAAAATAATAATTATGCGGATATAGAGTTTTGTTTAATGCAAATGTTTGTTAAATCGATATTAAAAGTAATATTTCAGTAGATTAGTATCAACATTTCAATATTAGGTAATTTGAGCAATTACTAAAAATGCGAAATGTTACCAAACGCTGAAAAATTAGAAATTGGATGTTTGACGGTCTGAAGGTTTTCAATCTGCGTTATAATTGCTAAATTGCATTTTATGTTTTCCTTCCTGTTCGCTCTGTTACTAGGAATGCGACATCGACAATAACATATCGATGTTTGAAAACATTTAATTTGAGTGTGTATGTTTATTAATTTATAATTAAGATTTTACTGATAAAACAAAGTAAAAAGTAAGAAAAAAGTATCCTGAAAGCCTGAGCGCTCAGGTCATCTCTAGGGATCTCAGCTTCCTCAGTTCGCTATTGGGAGGTCATCAGAAGAGGGTCCTAAGCTTATGGCGCACGCGTTGCTTTTTACGCTTCTTACTCTTTTATGTTTCAAAAAGTTCACAAATACGGAAATATAAAATTAGTTTCCTTAATTTCCCGATGTTAATGGGAAAATCTGAAAAGAATGAAAATAAGTTTTATCTCGAAGCCATCCCTTAATTATTTTCTTAAAAACTAACTCATTTTTATAAAGCTATAAAATGCTTCATCATGCGCTTTTTTTAATATTTAAAGTGCTAAATTATACCATTACTACCTGAAGCAGGGGTGCCCAACTTGCAAGGCCTCAAGAATCACAAATAAATCCTTTTATATAGTTGCGGGACATATATTCGTTACTTGAGCGATCAAAACCTGACATACTGTTGGCGGCACTTTGCCCCGCTGCTCTGAAACGGGTGGAGTGGGGCCGGGGTGGGGGGCATGGCACCATGCGTGATATCAGATCGTAGTATGCATAACGCAATGAAACACAATGCGTGCTTTTGAATTTCTGAATTTACTAGAAAAAATTCCTTAAATCTAAACTTCACCAATTTTTTTATATTAAAGTGAGCTTCCCCCCTGGCAGGACGTGTGCACTGGAGGCACAATACTCTCGCCCGACATGGATTTAAGGGGCTTTCACAACCTTTTGCGGGTCAGAATAAATGGCGCTGCGAGCCGCAAGTTGGACAACCATGACCTATAGGGCTGTCTCTATGCTAGGGTGGAAGTCAACGGAGGAGGGCAGTGAGGGGAGAAGGGCCGCCCATCGTTTGCGCATGCGTTGCATTCTGCTGGCGGCCACTAAACCATTTCAGCGTCCGTAAACTGAGACCAGTTTGCAATAACTAGACGAATTCAATCATGCAATATTATTGAGGACCAATGTTTCGCTGAATGGTCTTGCAAGATTATCCATACAATATCTAGGTCTCATTGATGAATATTTGAGGTGGGGATGCCCAGCATCGTGGCCTTCCCTGATGCTACGCCACAGTAAATAATTGACAGGACCCTTAAATATCAAGTTTCAGTAGAGCATTTCTTACGAAACAGAATACTTACCTAGCGACCATCAGCCATGGTCTTAATGATTCCTTATATAAGGAGCTAGATCGCATGTAGTCTTGAAACACTCGACGATATGCTATAGCTGACGATATTTCATGCTGAGATATTGTTAACTTCTCAACTTCATTAATGTTTGTTATTTTGAAATTATCAATGCTACACTCAGTAACTGGAGTATTAGGATGTTGGATACCTCCAATTGTGTCACAAGAACTTTGGGTTTCAGTAAATTCTGGTGTAAACCCTAACCGTTTTTTACGATTTACATCGAGAAGTTTTCCAATATCTTGCAGCTTCCATTCATCTGTTTGAAAATCACCATTTACTTGAGTCTCTCTTTTTTTACTTTCTTTATGGGACAATATAATAGTTTGCAAATCATTATCTTCGTTTTGGAATTTATCAATTTTTCTTATCTTACTGGCCACTGATTCAATAGTTTCTTTACAATTTTTTGATGTGTTAAGGAATTCAGGTTCTGCTTCGGTTGTCAAACAGATTAATTTCACATTCTTAGGAAATCCAGAATCTACCCTAGAAGATTACAATATTATGTTACAAATAAAAATTTACAAATAACACAAATATGACTTTACAACTTTCTGATTTTCAGAGCAATATACATTTTGCAGACTTAGATAAACCAAAGAATGAACGTAAATAATATGCATAAATCAGGTAAGATTGATGGTTTTTACTTTCTCACACTTCTTAAGTAACAGAATTATTGACGGAATTTCATACATTATTTATGATGCTTAGATAATTTGTTTTCTTTCGATATTTTATTTACTGGTTTAAAATGTGCACTTGATGAACTCATGTGCTATCACACATCTCATGGCCGATCTGGAACGGAATCCCTTTCTCGGAAGATGCAGCAGGCTGCAGTTAAACCACGGAGAGCGCTGTTGGAATATGAGCGTGTATAGAAAGATCTTTGTTACAAAATATACCAGGGTAGTGATATTTTCGAAATAAAATAATTATATTTGTGGGAAACATCTCGAAGCAATAGTGTTTGTTGCGATGTGCTGGAGTCGAACTTAGTGTACAGTGGAAATCAAAGCCAGAACCACGTGCGCCGGAAGGGTATCTGACTTGGTCACGACGCATAGAATTATGTAAGTAATGATTCAATATATACTTTTATTTAACTTGGTTTTAATTAATTTGAATTGCTTACATTTTTATTATATTTTGTATTTTTAATTTATGAAATTACATTTTTGTCATCCGATGGAGGTGCAACCTCTAGTCTCTTGGGGTACCAGCCGCCACTGATCCTAAACAACCCACTCCTTTCCCCAAATGTTAATGAACTCCTACCCTACATTCTATCACCAATCCTAACATCGTTAAAAATGCCATTCCATCTCCACACCAATATCTAAATCAAAACACCACTTCTCAACCGAAATCTTTTTCCTTCATAACCCATATAAAATTCCATTTACCCCTTGTCTTTGGGGGAAGCGGAAAGAAAACCAAAAGGAGTAACACTGCAAAGAAATTAGAGATAGACAGTACAAGCTCTCTTTATGGTTTTTAAGGCACACCGAGGTTTTTCATCGATTCCCTTGATACTTTGAGCAAATTCTGATATGGGCCATTGCTTTTTAGGGCCGATCTCTGAATGGAGAATTTAAGCAGGGATATGAGAAAATTCTCACACTTGTACGATTATTCATGGCATTGCCACAATGTGAGAGAATTCTCTTACATCTTGACAGTACCATCAATAATTATTATAATCATTCTCCGTGTGTTCGCAGCAGTGAATCAGTTCTTACACATGGAGCAAAGCCATAATTTGTAGCTAATTTGCAGATTCAAATTATTTCTTACACTACACAAAATCATGTATGACTTATCAAATTTGCCAAAAACGCTTGTTGCTAACGTTATTCATAATTCAACTTTGGATTTTGAATTAGATTGAGAGTAAGAGGAAGAGGAGGGGTTTCGGAGATCTTGAAAATGTGCGCAGAGTGTATTTCTCCCCCATACGTCACATAGTTTTTAACTTTTTCAACGTTAAATACATAAATAAACATTTCTCAAATTTAAATGACAAGTAAAGAAAACAAATGTCACAAATATTAACTAAGACAATACGGTAAACACGAACAACTATAAAATCCATTTTTCTCAAACGAGTAAGGAGAAATACATTATGAAAATCTTCTTACTTACCTTTCATTGCCTATCTGCCTTTCTTGGCTCGCATACTTTGTTGTGAAATTTGAATTATCTGAAGTATGTTTTCGTAACTTCATTTCAGATAGTTGATTGGACATTGTTTCTAATGCTTGAATATAGACAGAGTAATTTGGATGCCCCATCTCTTTAAGGGATTTCGTTTGTTTTTTCAGATTTTTAATTTCGTCTTCTAGTTTTTTCAATGTCCTTGTGCTAGGTAATGACTGTTTGTCAAGTTCTTTCAGAACTGAAGTAGTAGTTCTCGAGCAAACTCTTTTAGAAGTACTGCTACACTGAACAGGAATCTGAAAAATTGTAAAATTATTTTTTACTTTCTCGCAATTAGGAAGGAACTTTTTATGAAATGCTGAGCGGAAAAAAGGGCGAATTTTCGGTAGAAGAACTCTTTACTACTTTATTATAGTTTATTACACTTTCACTTCATTTTATGAATTTTTCGTCTTATTGAAAGTAAACAAGTTCAGTCAGTTATTGACGGTATTCAATGCATTGTTTACGATATTTGGAGACTTTGTTGTCATTTGATATTAGATTTATTGAGAGTTCTTTGTGTAAAATTGGCCGTTCTGGATGGAAGTCCCTTTGTGTCTCGCAGAAACCAGTCTATCAGCAGCTCGCAGAAACCAGTACAACACTAGAAATCAAAGCCAGAACTATGTACGTGGGAGATGAATATACCTGGTACAGACTCTATGTATAAAAATATGTAAGTAATATTTCAATACAGATTTTTATTAAACTTACATTTAATTAATTTACACAATTTGCTTACTTTTATTATATATTAGTGTTCTAAAGTTTGGAAATTACATTTCCGTCATTCGATGTAGCTGCAACGTAGAGTTTGTGCCACTGATTATAATCCACGTTTTGTGGATCACTGACACTGAAAAATTGATTTACTGCAAAATGCCTGTCGGTGGCCTACACCAACACTTAACTGTACAGACAATTTGCTCAAAAAGTTACATTCACCAATCAATTCGCGAAGTCGCGACCCTGCGGATTTGAGACGGACATTTTAAATATTTGGGATACTTTAAATGAAGACTCAACATTTTCAAACTTTCCTCAAAAATAGCTAAAACGTTTTGTACTTTTTTCACAGATTAAGCAAAGAACACAAAAAAACTGCTCTGCGGAAATACTTTTTCAGGTTCACATATTTGCTTAGTCATTACAATTAAAGCAAGAAAGAAATGTGCTCTTGTACCACTGTTAGTTACATTCTCGTTTGTGACAAATTACAATTACTTTAGAGAAAGTGATGATTGCTGCAGAAAATCGATGTCAAAAATGCATACTTTGCAACCTCTGATATTGAAAAATTGTTTGTGTTCCCCCTCCCTCCCCCCACATGAGTACAAATCTATCCGCCTGTCTGGAACCACACTAGTGTCTAAAACCATATATAGTATATTCACCAAAATAAAAAAAATTTCACAATTTTTTTCTTTATTTTTTCCTTATAATAGAGTAAATAACTTTGTTAAAAATATCATAAGACCAATTTTCATTAAAACCTCTGAATATTTGAAAATTGTAAAAGTTTAAAATTGGACCCCTCTCATTTAACTATGTTATTGAAGATTGAGATTTTTTAAACAACTTTGTCATTAAGAAGAATTATTATTGTCATTCAGAATTAAGTTTGTCATTAATGTCATGTACATTAAAAAAAATTAATGAACAAGATTTTCTCAAAACCAGCTTTGCATTTTTCCCTCTTTTGTGTGTGAGCATGCATGCATGTGTAGCTAAACGCATTTAGTGCTGGTTTTTTCTAAAAGATGATTTTTAAAAATTATACATCTCTAACTTTTTTGAATATGTTAAGTTCAGTAAAAGTGTTTTTCTTCTTATAAATATCAATTATACACTGCAAATTTTAAAGAAAAGCACAGAAGTCTTTTACTATTTTACAAAGTGTTCATATTAAAGACGTCATGTTTTAGAAACTTCTTTCTCTTTTATTTGGCATCAGGCAAAGTAAGGACAATATTTTCTGCAGCATTATATAACCTACTCTTTAATAGACTATGTAGAATACAGGAAAGTAAACATGAGGATTAGCATAATCCTCTTCTCTCAAATAATCCTGTAAATGTCAGACTCTCGTAAGAAGCTAAAAAGCTTGCAGAGAGAAGATTCGTAATTTCTCGTGCATTGTGGTTATGATTGTTGAATAAACACAACAAACATTAAATTGAATTGTCACACGATTTCTATAGAAACATAAAAGGAAAATGTTTTGCATCTATTAAAATCCCTTGAATTTATTATTCAGTTAGTACCTTTGAAACACAAATCGGAAATGGTGAGATATTGAAAGTCATATAAAATCTTTGTTTTTAATCTTTATTCATTCTATCCATTTTAAACAAGGCTGTTTGATAAATTAAAACATGTTCAAAGTTAGTTAGTTTTAGTCTTATGTAACAATTGTTTTTGCTGTTATTTTTTAAACTTATTTATCATCAAATAATTCTTTCTTCTCATTGATTTGGGATGGTTTTAAAAGTTTTTCAAAGGAGAAGAATTTACCACATTATCAGTGAAAATTTCAAAACAGCATACATTAAAAATAAAACTTAGAATACAGTGTTTTAATACCTGTTCCTAGTTTATCTTTAAATAGTTTTACCGTTGTTTTTAATAATAAAACATTTTTTTTCCATTACAAATAATTTTCTGCAGATAATATAAAAAATCAAAACTTAAATTACTCTTTAAGAAAACTATCCGTTATCAATGCAATGTTTGTACATCACGAAGAAGTCAGATAAAACTATTATGCCTATAAATGCATTGTGTTGTTTTCACAAGGAACCTTTTAATTATTATGAAACTGCAAAGAGATGGGCAAAATGGTAAGAGATTTCGCACCCAAAGAGTCATTAGTTAAACATAAAAACTAGTGTTTTCACTTTTTTTTTAAATTCAGAGAATTTGGAGAATTGCCAGAATTTAATCATATCTTTAGTGGTTTGAATTTCCTTTAAATTATCTCTTTTCTGAACTAATTAAGCTGTGGCATAGATAAGTGGCCTTTAAGGGAAAAAAAAAAAGAAAAGAAAGAAAGAAAGAAAAAGGAGGGGGGGGAATTGAGCAGAGAAGATTTCTGAAAACAAAACTGTGTAACACTGATTTTTCCTGAATTAATTTTTAAAATTTGACTCACGAAGAGATACAGTTTAGTGAAGCATCTCTCGTATTCTTATACACAAGACAGATCTAGTAACCTAAATTCAGTCCAGTCCCAGTTCAGTCCAGACTTACATTTTCTTTATAATTTCCTTCAATTATATGGTGAGTCTGGGTAGAAAAAGTATGCCAATTGTTTTAGTAATAAGGTGCTATCTGGTAAAAACAGCATATGTAGACTATAGTATACAAGTACATATAATCATAAATATAAAACTAAAAATAGGTAATTTTTCCAGCCTGTTGGAAAGAGAAATGGTGGGAAGGCCCAAGGAAAGTGTGCTGCATGTGACAGACCACTTATCGGAAGAGTGAGTAAAAAAAAAATTATTAAAAACATTTAGTTTGTAACATTCTATTTGTTCCCCATATAAATAATTTCTTGAAACATTATTTAATATTATGAAATATAATATTTATTTCCTTTTTTACAGACTATTGAAGCACTTGGAAATACATACCATGCTTCTTGTTTTAAATGCCGTGTCTGCAGAAAAGATTTATTTGGCACTAAATTCAATGTCAGTGGAAAAACATTGTACTGTGATGTGCACTATGCCCAAGAGTTTTCTCCTAAATGTGCCAAGTGCAATAAACCAATAAGAGAGGTTAATTCAAATACTGGTTTCTGTTTTTAAACATTTTGACCTCACTCTTGCTAATGTCTCAATACAACTTCTTTTTTTTCTTACAGAGACTGGTGGTTGCTCTTGGTAAAAAATGGCATGCAGAACATTTTAAATGTATGAAATGTAGTAAAGAACTGGGAGGTTCATTTTTTGTTGAACGAGATGGTAAAGCTTTCTGTGTAGATTGTTTTCAAAAGTTGTTTTCACCGAAATGTGCTGGATGTAAAAGGGTAATAACAGATGTGGCAGTAATTGCCTTGGATCAAACTTGGCATACATTCTGTTTTAGATGCAAGGTAATTAAATTGTACACAAATTCTTAGCCCAACTGTTGACTACAATCCAAAATCTTCCTTTCTAAATTCTTTTCATGGTTTAATGTGAAAATATTACAGAGTTTGTGCATCCTCAAACGTTAAAGCAATTGAAATCATCATCGATTGTCTGCAAATGTGCAGTTTTGTAACACTTTCCTGCATCTGCGCATGTGCAGAAGATTGAGATTGCATTTGATTGCTGCCTGCAAAGTCGTATACAAACTCCCTATTAAATATTATTTCTAGCATGGGCATCTCTACTTTACAAACAACTGTGTGGAATTTTAGTTTAAGCTATTATTTTTATTAATATCTTGAACTTAACTAGGTGCACATGGTAGCAAAAATGTTTTGTGGAAATCTCTAATTTTTTGAAAATTGCAAAAGTTCAATTTTTTTTAGCGGCTTCCTACAACTAGTATATTGAAGATAGGGACTTTTTTCCTTAATGAAACCAGTTCTTTAAAGACAGATCTTGAAAGAAGATCATATACAATTTTTTGAAAATATGAGTAGTTAACACATAAGTTTGTGTGAAATTCAGGCAATTGGCTCCAAATTTTTCTATAAATTTTCCCTTTGCACGTACAAAAAGAGCAGTTGAAAAAACTGATGATAGTCTCATTTCTGGCATGCTCTGTATTTTCAAAAATTGCGAAGTTTTAATATTTCAAAACTAGAAAATTGAAGACAGAGAATTTTTCTTTAAACAAATCAGGTTCTAAACAATTAGCTGTTTATAAGAGGTCATGTATAATATTTTGGAAAAACCAGTGGGTTTTGCATAATTTGTGCTTGAAATTATTGCATTTTCTTCAAAATGCTTCAAAGTTATTGTTCAAATTTTTTCGGTAGGTAGAACAAGAAGCGCTTAAAAGAACAGGTCTCGTGTTTGTTGAATCGCATATTTAAAAACCGCAAATAGAAATATGAGAAAGTATGTGCTTCTTACTTGTTCAAAATATATTTTTCTCTTCTATTAACTGTGTGAGTACAAGGGCTTTCCAGAGGATGTTTCTTGAAAACTTCAAAGTTTTGTGAAAATGAACTCAAAATTGGGCATTTTCAGAAATGCTCAAAACATTTTCGTAAAAACAATTACAAATGTTTCAAAGAAAATTTGTGTTGACCAGTTTTTAACTCTTCGATAATATTCTTAAAGTCATATTTTAATTCTAGTAGGGCCTTTTAGGGGACCAAAAAATTGAGAAAATTTAAAAAATGTCTTTTGCGTTGAGAGGAAGCAGCTGGGATGAGGGTGAGGGCAATAATGAGAAGCTAGCCTAGACTAAAAAGTGGGAGGAATTTGTGCCATTCTGATGATATTAAATTAAATACTAATATTTATCTTCAAAATTCATAATAACTCCTTCCACTTAAATATTAGGCATGAATTAGTAAAAGCAATTACTGCAAATTACAAAATATTTATGAGCATTAAAAAGAATAATCATTGAGAATAAGTCTTCAAAAATGAATCTTGATTCCATTTTTAAAAAAAGATTTAAAAATTCTTCCTTAGAATTATGTATCAATAGAACAATTAAGATGTTGACTGACATTGGTGTTATGAGAGATAAGAAATAAAAAAAGAAGAAAAAAATTAGAAACAAAAAATTCAAAATTATGCAAAAGGAAAAGCCAATGAGAAATATAAACAAATATAGGCCTATGTTTGATTATAGGCTATATTTTTACATCAGACTTTCAATTCCAATGAAGATGTGAAATAAAGATTGATATCATTAAAATAAAAGAAATTAAAACAAATAAATAAAAATGTTTGTGAACAAAATTGCTATTTGACTGTACACCTTACTTAAGGCTATCAGTAAAACATACAATTGCAACAAAGCATGTTTCCCTAAAATTCTGTGGAATCCGTAGGTCAGGAACTGTAATACAAATATTCGCAAACTATATTACAATGTTTTCACTGAAATTTAGAAATTTAAAATGAACGTTATTAGTTTGTTGATAGACTGAACTTTAATATTAGCAAAAATCCATTTTTCTCAAACATTTACTGCATTTACTAAAATATCGGATTCTTCTTTTGTATTTTCAGATGTGTCGCCAAATTATTAATAATTCCGAATTTGGCGTTTATAAAGGAGAAGCAGTATGTACAAATTGCATAAAAGACATACCATCATGAAAATAAATGTTTTTGTACACATTATTCCAGCAATAAAGAAAAGATACTTTCAAAGGATATTGACGCAACTTTTTTGTATTTCCCATTTATCAGCGACAAATTGAAATCTCGAATTGTGATGACTGCAAACAACGGCACCAAATGATTTGAAATTTGAAGCGTTCGATTAGGAGTAACACAATTTTTGCAATTGCTGATAAGGTTTCCATGAAAACTCGCTTAACTCATTTTGCAAGAGGCATGATATCCGCCGTCCATTACATGATATACGCCTTACTGCAATTGTAAATTTTAAATAGTTCGGAGATTAGGAATCATTTTTTTTCTGACCTCTGTATGGAGGTTTTTACTGACGTCGCTGTAGCGATAAGCCGATGCTTTTTTCAGAGTCGTGAAAACGAAGCCATGTTGGAGGTTGGGCGTTCTGTAAAAGCGCACGGAAGAGCCGCGATAAAAGTGGCCGCACACCGGCTCGGTGTAGTAGCAATTAGCGTGAACCACACCGACGAATGCAATAGCTCCTAGTTGCCCCGAACACGGTGATGAGCTGAGTAAAGAATATAAACACTAGTTCATAGAAGAAAATAGAGATTTCTGACGTATGATTAAGTTCTGGCAAACGTTTTATATATTCTTGTTTGACAACATGGTACACACGCTGCTGTCTTTTGATTCGGGTCTGGACACTCTGTAGGAATTATGAATATTGAATTAATAACAAAAGGGATGGATACATCAAGGCGGGATTTCTGTTATTGGACGTGCCAGCACAGAAGTTTGGTGGGGACCCTTGTTTTCTAACAAATTATTATTAAATAAATTGAAGTATCACGATTTAGCTTTAATATCTTTATCCACGATATGCGAAATTATTGTACTTATTTACAGCAAAGCAGAGCACAAATCTAACTTAAAATTCAAGTTTGACGATGCACTCTACACTAATACATAATTCCAAAATAGGTTCTTCCACCTTCACATGTCGGGAGCGTACAGCTTATCCAGGATGGAACGATGTCCCGATCGAGGAGATACCTGGAGGGTAAAGTCCGCTAGTCGATAGGCCGCAGCCCTATCTCACAAATCAGTTGGGGAGGTTCAACGTCACCTCCCGATATACACTGAGATGACTAAAATAATGGGATAGCAATATTCAAATATACTGATAGCAGTAGTATCTCATACAAAAAGTATAAAAGGGCAGTGCATTGGAAGAGTTTTTATTTGTACTCAAGTAATTCACGTGAAAAGATTTCTGTTGTGATTATGGTCGCACCTCAGGAATTAACGGACTTTGAAATGATCGATAATGATGATTAAGGTTTAAGGGCGCTTCTACAGCTAAGATCATTGGCACCCGTGCTAAATTATCTTAAGAGCAATACGCACTGTAGCAATGACTAAACATTTTTTAATGCAAGGTAAAATGAGGGTAAAACTGAAAATAAACATGTTCAATTATTTTAAAAAAGGGGGTGGCAGAAAAGAGACAGATATACACTTTAAAATCTGCAATTAAAAGCAAAATAATTAGCATAATCCTATTCTCTCAGATAATGCTGTAAATGTCACTCTCGTAAGAAGCTAAAAAGCTTGCAGAGAGAATATTCGTCATTTCCAAGTACCTGTGCTTCAGAGCTAGCAAGGTGAAGCCTTCGGCGGCTATGTCTTACCTTAAAACAGTCTAGGGGAACGTGCTACACGGTAAGATCCGCCTCGCGGAGATATCCGTGGGTAAAATGGCAGTGACAGATCCGAAGGCGTGTCAGAATTATCTCCTCGCGCCCTGACCCATGAGATGAAGACCAAGGCTTTATGGAATCCTTGATTCTCGTGAGTTTTGCCAGTGTTTGCCTCGCACTGAGAGTATGACGTTTGATAAACAGCTTGGTATCATTTGTTGGGACTATGAGGATGTCTAACAGTTTTCTTTGTGGCGACCTTTGCTCCCGAGTCAGCAATTTCGTTCCCTATTATGCCAACGTGACCAGGATCCAACAAAAACCTAATTATAACGACGCACCAGTAAATATGGATTTGGTGTTGGATGATCATTGTTGGAGGGTCACAAGAAGAGAAGCAGAAGATTGATTCGAGCGAACTTTTTGAATCGCTGGAGATCACAGCTTCTTTTAATTCATCGATTCAGCGAACTTAAGTGCCTCCAAGAGCGCATATTTTTCAGCAGTATAAGCGCTGCACGAAGTCTAGTCGAAGACTCCGCGTGGCACTGTGGCCGTATAAGACACGCCATACATTACAATTTTGGGAGGGACCAGCAATGTATATGAAGTTATAGCCGGAATACACGGATTCGTTCTCCTGGAATTCCACCAGAAATGTACTGGGGGGAGTTGAGGATTTGGAGAAGTGTGATAATCTCAAGTCTATTTCAAGGGGGAACAAGACTTCGGAGGGGAGGGGAGTTCACAAGGATGAGTTTTATATCGAGTTTCTGCAAGAGCTTGTAGTGAAGGTTAAGAGATGGGGTAACAATGGTCTGAGTGCGTACGATGAACTGTGACTTGGGTGAAGAACTGCTTGACGCGAAGTATTTATAGCTAATACTTTCCCGCCATAGGAGCCAATTTCAATATCTCGCCTTCGGCTCGGGGATGGTTCACCAGCATCAGCCAAGAGGCATTCAATGCCACTCGTGCGGCCGGCGCCTGTGCTGATCATACCCGCAAAAGATATACCCGGTCTGCGCCCCAAGGTCCACCAGTGAGGGTGCGAAGGAGGTTCAATGGTGATACACAGCGGCTCTTCGAGTTTTGAATGTGCTTTTGCCATGTTAAACTCCAGTCGAATGTTGGGCCAAGGAAAGTGGAAGATTCGACGAAGGGAAGTTGATGTCCTCCCCAAAAAAGATCAGGATAATTAAGGACGTGATATATTCTACAGACGTGCATGCAACTGGATTTTGATGTGGAGAACTTGAATCCGGTTTTATCGTTCCAGTCTTGCAGTTTGTTGACAAGCTGTAACTGCCTCTCAATAACTTGCAAGCTCTTTGAGGATCAGAATATGGCAAAGTCATCAACGAAGAGCGATGCTTTCACAGGCTCTCGAATTACTGATGCGATACTATTGATAGCAATGGCAGAGTGACACTCAGAATTGATCCCTTCTGGAACTTCTTTTTCTAACTGGTGACTTGAGGATGTGTCACTAAGGCGGGCGCAGAAAGATCTTGACGAAAGCAAATGTAGCACAACAGAAGTGGAGATCTGAGTGGAAAGGGAGACTAAGTGGTCCATGGTTAACCTGTGCATCCTGAAACCACACTGAAAAGGTGTAGATAAATTTCTTTGCTCAAGGAGCCACGCCAGATGTTTGTTTAACATTCGCTCTAAAAGCTTGCACACACAGCTTGTGAGCGAGATTGGGCTGGAACTTTTATTTTTTAGAATTTAAAGGGATTGTTCTGTCCTTTCCTTCTTTAAGAATTGGAATAACAATGGCGTCACGCCAAATACTTGGTTAGGAATGTTCTTCCCAAATCAAGTTGAAAGTGCAGAGGAGAAAAGAACGAGCATTTTCCGAGGGGTTTTAGCAATTGATTATGTATCTGGTTTGGTTCTGATGCAGAATCTTTTGCATAAGCGAAAGCCCAGGAAAATTTGTTCATGGAGAGAGGAGCATTGTTATCTTTCTCCACGCGACTCGAGAAATCTGTTCTGCAGTTCTCCATTCTTCTTTTGGTCCTAAGAAATCTAGGAGAGTAGGGTACGGAGCTGGAAATATGATCGTAGTGAGAGGGCAATTCTTCAACTATATCTTCTGGTGAGGTGATAAGATTTCTATTTACCAGTAGCCCTGCGACAGACGGCGAAGGAAGTCTTCCACCGATCTGTCGAAATCTGTCGAACAAATTTAGTGATGAAATATAAGCGCTCCAGCGCGGCCTTGCTTTCCCGTATGATCAATCTAGCATTGCTCGTGATATTTTATAATTGATCATATATCCATGGTTGGGAACCTACTAAGTTTTGCCAATGCTCGTTTCCAATCACGCACAGTCGGCATTCCACCATGGCACGAGAGGATGTCGTAGGTGACCCGACGACTTCGGGATGGAACTTGAGGCCGAATGAAGAACTATGAAGAATTATGTTCTGGCTGTTAGTAACATTTTCAAGTATATTGCCTCTCGAGCAGGTCCTGTTTCCACCCCAGGTGGGATTGTGGGCAATAAAGTTACACACAATAAGAATATGGGCGGGCAACTGAGAAAACACATCTTCAAGTTCTTGTTGTGACACGACTTGGCCAAGAGGAATGTATATATTGCACAACGTTAAAGAAAAGGACGGTAGGTGTTCCTCGTAACAGTCCTGACTGCTGCTGTAGATGGCTTGTGTTGGGGGTGATTTCCCGATTTTTTTTTGCCACAAGGGACCGAGCTCTGCATGGGCTGGAGGATCGCTCAATGCAAGTCAGGGACGGGTAGGAGGACGAGAAAGAATTTTTGCTCAGAAGCGACATCTGACTTAAATCTATTTATTTAAGGGGGTCTGTTTAAGTGATTTGTCTGGTGGAGTCTTTGCCTTGTTTTTTTAAACTTTGTAGGTACTATTACCCTTCAACCTTGGATTCAAAGAATCAAGGAAGTATATACGCGACACCTGACAATTGAACGAATTGAGCATTACTACAGCAGGAGCATGTTGTGTCTGTTAACTTGTTGTTACCCCTGAGGACTTGATCTTCAAAGTACTGGAGAAGGATTGTGACACGTCTACTGGGTTTCTAGCCTGCTTTCGCCGTTTGGCCTCAGGGAAGAAACTCTTATCTACTGAATCTCTTTCCCGGAGAAAGGTAGGGCATTGGTTGTAGTTGGCTGGGTGGCCACCTTTAAAATTGACACAGCGGTGGTGTAGCGCAGGGACGTGTATCGTGCACTGATGCACTGCACTTCCCTCACACTGGGCTTACTAACATTCATCGTTGCTAGGTATGCCCAAACTTTTGACACTTAAAACAGCGCAAAGGTTTTGGTATATACTATCGCACATGGAGGTTGTAGAAACCATAACTGATTATTTCCGGGAGGGACGGACGGTCAAAAGTAAGGATCAGGGTTGAAGTAGGGAGCACTTTCCCCTGCTCTTTCCTCTTGATCCCATAAACTTGACTCTTGAACCTGACTCTTGAAAAATTATATTAGTTCATTTTCTGAAGCAAAGTCGTTGTTTACGACGCTTTTGGACAGATTCAAGGTTGGCACCGGCAATCAGCTTTGTTTTGCGTGGTTTCTCTATATGCTCGTCGGTACGTGCTTCGAAGACAATCGTTCCATTCCTCTGTTGCACGACCGCTTGTTGCTTCACATATGCTTCCTCTAAGGCCCGCGCCAGACGGACAGTACTTACGTTTTTAAATTTTTTCCACCCTCGGCGCATGCCATGAGGAAACGAGGATTTTTCGGTCGGTAATCTTTTGAAAAAAAAACAAAACAACAACTATTTAAATCAATAGTTCGTTCCGGATATCTCCTCTTGCTTGCGGAAGAGGGCGTGGGAGGTTTAGTGTCCATGGAGATGGATATACGATTCATCCTCGGGTCCCCACCCACCATGGAGCTCAACAAGGGGACACTTCATCGGGTTGCCTCGGAGCTATAGTGGAGGGATGTCACATTGCTGCCCCGTCGTGTATCTTCCCGCTCACCCTGGATTTCAGTAAAATACCTAGTCCGAGCCTTGATCGAGAGTGGGTTAGCTCCCGACTGTCCGTCTAGAAGAGTCCGAGCCCAAAGCAAGTGTGTGGAAACCTACAAGGAATGTTTCCCAAAATACGTAAATAAAAATGACCGAAGGCAGCGGCGCTAGCGCAGGATTGTCATTGCTAACAGTCCAGCAACACTGCGTGAATTAACTGTAGATATCAATGTGGGACATCCGACATTCGGTCGTATAACGGTTAGCGTTTCGGACTGTGAGACCAGGGTGAGCGGGAAGAACCAAAATTGCGGGGTCACACCCGATCGAAGCCGTGGTTTTTTAAGGGCGAAAAAAGTCCTTCCTTTGGAGGGAAAGTAAAGCCGGCTGTCCCATTTAGATTTAGTGCATGTAAAAAATTCTGAGCTAAATTTAAATCGACTGTATCATCGCCCAAGATACCTTCTTTCTAGGCTAGATGGTGAAAGAGCGTAGAAAAATTTGCGTGGTCACACGGAAGAGCAGGCCTGGCGGCCCGAGTCACACCGCGTAAAATAAAGCTTTAACTAAATAGCTAACAAACTAAGGAATGAATCTGTTAGGACAGAGCGGCGAAATTTGTCTTTAATGGGCTATGGCAGCAGAAGACCGACTGGAGAATCTTTGCTAACAGCATATAGCCTAAAGCGCCTCTTCTGGACTCGTGACCATATCGATTGCACGCTAGACGTCTGGTAAACCGTATCTTGGTCATATGATTCCCGATTTCCTTTGGTAAGAGCTGATGGTGTGTTGGATTGCGGCGCAGACCCCACAAAGCCATGGATCCAAGTAGTAAACAAGGCATTGTGCAACCTGGAGGTGGCTTCATAATGGTGTGGCTGTTCATGAAATATACTGGGTTCTCTGGTCCAACTGAGCCGATCATTGACTGGAAATGGTTATATTCCGCTTCTTGAAGTCCATTAGCAGCCATTCATTGACTTCATGTTGTCAAATAACGATGGAATGTATTTTTGTGGATGACAATGCGCCATGACAGCGGGCCACAACCATTCGCGATTGGTCTGAAAAACATTCTGGACAATTCGTGCAAATGATTTGGCCACCCAGACCGCTCGACATGAATCCTGTGGAATATTCATGGGATATCAACGCCAGTTCGTGCCGAAAATCCTGCACTGTCAACACTTTTACAATTATGGACGGTTGAAGAGGCAACATTGCTCAATATTTCTGCTGGCAAAAGTAGGTCCGACACGATATATCAAGACTTTATCTCAGTGTATAACATGCACTTCACTGGAACTAATAACGACATTGTAGACGACGCATGCGGAAACACTAATTAATCGGATCGATAAACGAACATCCTAGCTAGACCTATGTGAAGACCCCGTGCGATGATTCATCTCTCATTGGTCATGGGCATACGCACCATTAAATAACGACGTCTTCCTTTCACAAAATGCCACCAAACTATGCTGCGCAGTTAGTTTGATTGCAGAGATATAAGTAATACTAATAATACGTTTTCGGTACATGCGGGTTTTACTAAACGATTGTCCACACATTGATCCACACATTTCGTCGACATTTTGTACAAGACTTTAAGAAGTTAAAGTATTTTTTAAAGTTTGTAATACATGAAGTTGTTACCCTCTCTTCTTTCTCTACAATAAATTGATTTTGGACTCATCAATACAACTTTAAAGCCTAATATTTGGCCCATAGGAATTATGAGTGTTACTTTCTATTTCAGATTTTATTTTTAAATTCTCTACCCTGAGCAGTAGAGATAATCTACGCTACTTACTACGCACAGGTTTAATTAAAATTAAACCAAATGCTAATTGAGTATCGAAAATTAATTATATAAATTACTACAATAAATGCTTCCATTATTTGGTTTTAACTCACCTCTTCAGCAAGAAAAAACTCCATCATCGTTCTGACATCATCACTTGCACACACTTCTCCAATTTCACTACCATCTTCTTTAATTTTTTCGTGAATTTTTGAGGTAGTTAAGTTTCCACGTTTATTGTTCTGCTTCTCCCACAACAAAATAATGTTAATAATAATACATGAACAATACAATATTTTTGAAGTAGGTACACACAAGTTGTGTAAATAATAATTATTTATTATTATAATAAAAACAAATAAAATGGAATTCAAAGAGTGTGATGTACAAGATATCAACTTTAAATAGTCTCTCGCGATCTATCACATACAACTACAACATGAGGAACCCCGTTAAATTTAGATATGTTTCTCGAGACAGCTAGACCCAACAGAAGCCACGCGCTGTATCAGCCTATTAAAGTGGCGGCCAAAGAATGGGACATTCAGAAAATGACGGACGTAGGTCCTAAAAGACACTGTGAGGAGATCCTGGTCCTGTCTATCCTGGACCTGGAATAACGAAATACTAATTATTCTTGGAAAGAGTGGTAACGTAGCCTCAGTAAATGATTCTGTAGAAAAGGCTGTGGGCTCTCAAGACAAAGCAAATAAATTTTAGCCAAAACAATTGGTTGAAATTCGGGTCATCGACGGAACAATAGTAAATGGAGTTGTGGAGGCAGTCGCCTAGTATTTGGGAATACAGACAGCATTTCGCCGACTCATGCCGATTGATGGAGAGATACGGCAGGTTACAGATGGCGACAATGCTTTTGTCAGCAGTTAGCCCGTAAACTGGTGGCGAAGGAGAGAACAAAAATCAGGTAGGTTAATTGGATAAGGGAGAAGTGGCAATTAATGAGATGCTTCAGGTGTCGAGTACAGACACATAATATTCCTGTGTTCGGGACCTGACAGAAGTAACACCTGTTAAAAATGTGGGCAAGCTGGACACATCGCAAAGGATTACAGAAGTATTCATTTCAGCCTCTGCGAGGAGAAATATCATAGCGATGACCATGTAATAGTAACAGATGTGCTTTAGTCACCGCTGTGTCCAGAAAACTCAATAAGACTAAGAATGCTCAGGGTTATACCCATTGATCTAAGAAAAAGTAAGCAGGCGCAAGACCTGTTAACTCAGGTCGCCACTGAAAGGCAAGCTGACCTGCTACTAGCCAGCGAACAATGCGATACGTCTGACCACATCACGTGATACTAGGATTCCTCGAGAAGAACGGAAATAATTACTTTCAATAAAATTCTCAATTTGAGTGCAAGCATTCAAGCGGACGAAGTTCGGGTCCGTGTGGATGGAAGAAAATGATATATTTACAGCTCTTACGCCCCGCAAGTGACTAGAACGAAAAAAATTGAGGGACATTGTTGAGCGTGAAGCTAGCAAAATGCGAAGCTCTTATAGGTGACTTCAATAGTAAATCTCCAGAATGGGAGGAGACTAAGAGAGATATACATTCATAAAAGGTGGCATAACCTCTGATGGCACCACAAACACTTCCACCTAGTAATTGTGTCCCCCTACTATCATCATTAAGATTTCAGTCTCCAGAGGCCAGGTAGCGACATTACCAAACCCTATGAAGATTATTTCAGTGCCCTGTAGGTGCTGGTTGCCCGTCTTGGCAAACATCTCGGCCTTCAGGTTTACATCACTATCCGAGTCTAGTGACCGAGGTTGACATGCATCGGTCGTATGCATTGCGGACACGCCTCACAGTGGCTCTGGCAGTTAGCCGCGTTGCGCTGTTGGTGCATTGGGTGTCAATGTGTCCAAATTCCTCGCATTTGAATCACTTAGGGCCCTTTTCTCCCTGGCTGCAGTCATTCGTATAGTGACCCGTGGCCCCACATGTGAAACTGCCTCTTGTCTTTCCCCTTTCTTCTTTCTTTCTTTCTCTGTATGGTCCGGCCGTTTCTTCTGGGTCTTCTTTCTTAAACTTTTCTCTTTTTTCAAAATTTATCGTCAATTTGTCTTTTATTTGTCGGACACCTCGAATATTCCCGTAAATTCGCTGATCGTTTGGGCTTGATAAAGCAGCACTTTGTTGGTCTCATCGGGCACTCCTACAATGTACTGAGCGAGTGCACTTATCTCAAGGTATTCCTGATCGGCGATTTCTGGCATGGCATAGATGAATTGCCTGCTCGACTCTGTAGGCTTCTGTCTCCTCTTCCGGAGCTCACTGTGGACTACTGCGCTGTTAACTTTTACCTTGAACTCTCGACACAGCCTACGCTTCAACTCTGCCCATGCGGTGATACCGAACTCGAAGGACTCAAATAATTTCGTAGAGCCGCAAAGCATCCGCTTGCCATAATTCAGTTATTGCAACTCATCCCAGTGCAGAAATGAACTTACCATGTCCTCAAATGATTCTATCTACTTTGAGACAGGGAACTTGTCATCGCTCGTAAAGGGAGTGAGACTGCTTTCTACGTCCTTTATTGTGAAGTTGTTGAAGAAGTAGCCCTTGTCTTCGAGGCAGGCGGGTCTCAGGACACCTGCGGTCGTAGCTTTCAGCCTTCTGATTGACACGCCTCCTTCCCATCCCAACATATCACTGCTCCCATCACATTCGTCGTCTGACGCTTCCGGTGTCCTCCGTCTCGCGGAGAGTTTCTCTGCCTGCGCCCTTTTCTGGTGCCTGACCGACAAATACTTTTCCCGCCCCATCGCCTCGGTCGTCAGACGCTGCTGGTGTCCGTCGTTACATGAGGAAGTCGTCCTTTTCTGGTGTCTGGCTGACAAACCCGTTTCCCGCCCCACTACACCACTGCTCCAGCCGTCTTGATCGTCTGGCGTCGCTGGGCGTGCAGTACTTGTACTGCGGTAGTTCTTCTTGCGTAAATTCTTGGCTAGGGCTAAAAGCTGACTCTTGTTTAGGGAACCACCTAACCCTATTAATACTATTTGCATCTAACTCTAAACTAACTTACACGTATCTTAAAGCTACTATTTACAAGCACTTTCACATCACTAGATCCTTTAATTGCCATTCCCACATTACTACCTTTCCAAAGTGTTCTCAGGACACAGCTGCTTTAAATCTTACATTTAGATTTAAAAGGGCAGCCGACCCTAAATGTAAATTTTGTGGATACAAAGATTATGAAGCAATGCATACAATACTCATATGTGTAGTCTCTGAGTATGGGATACTCAGAGAAGAAAAGATAACAAAGCCTTGGACGTGGATATCTCCCCATCAAATATGTTGGAACTTATGCCCAAATCAAGTAGATTGGATCATAATACAAGAGTCCCTCGCATTCATCATGAAAAGAAAAGAATAAAGCCTCTGTATTTAACATGAAGTTCTAGCCCAGTTACCAGCCCGTCTCTCAATGAAGCTCATGGGCACAAGAGAGGGTTTTATTTAGTGGGGGAAGGTCCCACTCACCAGGGATAGTACATCTTTATCCCTGACAGTGCATACAGCATTTTTCCTCTTACAAAAAACCATAAAAATAAAAACAAAAAAATCATCACTTTAAATTCAAATACTTATAATTAAAACACTAGACAAAAGGGAAAAATACAAGGTGGGTTCCGTAAGTTTCTGCTCACTAACTTCTAGTTGTGAAGCAAAAAAGACAATTATGTAACTATTCAATACAATCATCCTTTACTTCAATCAGCTTTTCACATTGTATTAACATTTCTATGTCTTTCAAAAAATTAGATTTTGTTCACCAAATGGTCAAAAACTACTTTTTTCATCCTACTCTGAAGGTTTGTCCTTAGTTTTGAGAAGAGATGGTAGTAACAGGGTGTCAAATTTGAATTGTAGAGCAGATAGTCCAACTCCTTTTGTATTCTGTGCAAGCGTAAGAGAGAACTATTCTTCTTTTGTATTCGCCTAAACTGTCGGAACAGATGATTTTTTGTGAAGAAGCTAAACACCATGATATTTTAAGCACCGCATCACACTGAACCACTTCTCTGCACAACACTAATTAAGATGGTGTTTGCAAACTTATAGAATAACATCAATAAAAGATAAGAGTATCTACTGCTTGGAAGGTTTCTCTATTGTTGAGTGTTCTCTTGCTCAAACTGGAAACTTATGGAACCACCTCCATACATCTCCCTCATACTAAACTATACCCTTCTAGAAAATTGCCCTTATAGAAGACACTACATTATATAACAAACTCTCTAATGAATTCAGAAACCTAAATTCAATACACACTACAGATAAACTGAAAGCTTCTATGGCTCTTATTGCATTGTAATAAATAAATCAGTAATAATAACACAGAACTTCTATTTCAGTTTTAAAAAAAATGATGGGTTTGGTTTCAACTTACTTTACACTGTGGTACATTAGTTTCCTTCTCTGTCACTTTGTTACAGTGTAGTTTGATGGGTCTCTTCTTTGAAGCAACAGAAACTTTGACAGTTCTTTTATTTTGATTACTGTTTGATTTACGCAAATTATTTCTTGAGTACATTGAGAATCTATGTGGCATAGTCTCTTTCTTTGGAGTTGAAGTAACATCTTTCTGTGTACATGACTGAGATCCAGCAATACAAGATTCTCCTTCATCAGTGACTTCAGTCTTTATTTGTATTAATAATTGTTGACACTGCTGTTTCACTCTCTACAAACCAAAATTTACAGAACACAATATTAATCGTCTACTCATTAGAATAATTAATTTTTATAAAAACTCAACTACCAAGTAATTCAATTATTCCTGAAAAGCATATAAATATCATACCTTGCTACTGAAATCTGAATCACCTTCACTCATGTTCAATTTAGAACAAACAGAGCATAGATTATTGACCACTTGAAGTAATTCTTCAAGTTTATCAGGTACTCCTTTTTCTACTGAACAAGGCATATGGTGAAAGTAAGCCTGAAAATAAATTTTCAAAGGTGTGAAAGGAAAATTTCTTTAGCACATCCTTAATCAAAAAAAAAATTTTGTACAGAGAATGGTCTTACCTGCAAAGCTGAATGAGCATTTTGATGAGTTGATATCACCTTTTGACATAAACTGAAAAAGGCTGAATGAGTACGATTTATAGATTGATTTTTCCACATTTTTGCAATGACATTCATCTAAAAAAATCAATTGCAAATATAAGTGTCCTGAAACCTGCATATGTCTTTTACTCCAACATTCACTAATAATGAACTTGTCAAGTGGATCAATCTTCTCCTCAAACAAATGTCATTAAATTAAATAACTCAAAGACGCAAAGGTTCATGGGAAGAAAGGCATATTCAGTCACCAAATTTTAGGCTACACTTTAAGCTGTACTTGATACACATTTTTAATGGAAAGTGTTATTACTTTTCTACTTAATGGTTACAAAATGAGTCAATATACCTCTCTCTGTAGAGGATACAAGTAATTGCGACAGAAACGAGATGAAAATTCTGTAGCTCTTTGCTGTCGCCTCTTCAAGTCTTCCACTCCATCTGGCTGAGGTCTGTCACCAAGAAGACTCTGAATTTCATTTAATGTGACAATCATTCTTTTCCGAAGGGTGTTTAATTTCACCACATGAATACTTTCTTGCGATATAAACATTTTTTTTAATGAATCTCCATTTGAAAGATTTTGTAAGCATGTTTGACTATAACTGTGATTGTTGGTTAGTAGTTCTTGTGGAGAACTTTTGGTGAATTTTTTAAGAGCAGCAGTTGACTCTGATTGTAAACATCCACAATTGGAATAGAAAGAATATTTATCACTCATTCTGAAGCTAATATTAAATGTTCTCATACATGTAGAGGTGCAATATCAGTTGTAAAGGTATTTCCTGCAACAAAGACATCCATCACAAAAATTAAATAAACTGTTAACACTTTATGCAATAAATCAATTTTTTATTCTTACTGTAATAAGACAAGAAATCTCAAAAGAGCTGTATCAGAAGTCAATTCATAACTCTGTATTGTTTTCATTAACAGAAAATGGAACAGTTTTAAATTTTTTTTAAATGGAATAGTTTAGAGAACTTATTAATTTAAACAATATAAATAAATGATTACTAGAAATACATTAAAATCCAGGTACCAACTTCTCCATTACATTTCTTGCTTTGATTCCATTACATTCAATACATTATCCAAATTTGGTCATGAAGGGCAGAAGGAAAATATTTTTCATATATCTAGTATTTTTTTTATAAAACCTAGTTTTAGTTTCATAACTACACTTCTTGGTGGTTCAATGTTTCTGTCATTCTATTTTCATTTTTAATAATTGGAAATGTTCTTTATAAGCAAATTTGATTATATTAAGAGTTTTTCAAAACAAAAAAACACCCTATCTATCACAGGTTAGTAAATAAAGACAGCATGAAATTCAGTGTAAAGGCTGATAAGCATCAAGAAATTTTGAAAATTCTCTCATAGTTGCAACAGGTTCTTCATTATTTTTCCAAAGAGAGGTTTCTGCATTCCATTAGCAGAAGATAGTTTTCAAAAAAAGAAAAACAATTAATTTCATATTGCCTTATGCCACAAATATCATAGTAGATGTCAAGTGAAAATACAAATTCACCACAATCAAGATGATAGGCATCCATATTTTCAATTAACAGCAAGTGGTTTCACATGTCTCTTTACAACAAATTTTTCCGACTTCTCATGTCTTAACTTCTTGAAGCATAGCCCACAAAAATTACAGCTGTTAGTCTGAAACAGATGATTACATTTAACTTCAATATATTTACAAATATTGTAATAAAAAGGTCAAGTGGTCAATATTCTTCATGAACAGGTTTACCGAGAATGACTTTGACAATGTGGAATTAGCATTGAATGTAATATCAATCTTTTTGAATTTCCTAATATCCACAACACAATAATTTATTAATTAGAGTTGGCAAGTTAATTAATATGTCTAAAGAGAAAATAAGTAGTTCTTTTTTGTATTAATTGAATAACAAATGAGCTTCTAATACCTTCTAATAAAAATTGTAGTCGCAATTCTTACTTTTATAAATTCATTTTTCTGTTTTGATTAAAAAACTTCTTAACAGTATTATTAACACCATCGAGCATCACAGAATGTGGCATTTTCTAACCTAAATACATTATACTACGTCGCGCTAATAATAATTCACATTACTTATGATACATTTATCATAACATTTTGCGATCATTAAGGTATCATTATCGTGGCGGCAATAATTAAAGTAAAACCCTGACTGTTGACATTATTCCCTAAATCTTTCTACAAATATATTTCAGTATTTTGGTTAGTACATAAAACTTCGCGCCAAAGTGTTCGCCACCGTCAACTGTCTCGTCACACTTCACAATAATTTATAATTATTGTTGAAGCTCAGCTCAGGCCCCGCTTTATAAATTATGATTTTAATTCACATACGACGCGTTCCATTGACAATTCTGTCACGAATTACCGAAATCGTTATTATCAATATTAACAAGAACCTCTATAAGTCATTATAGTTGGCATGATTAAATTTCGAGAGTATGGTAGAGAGTTTGAACTATTACCGCCGGGACATATTTAGCTGACAAATTTAAATATCATAAAAATTCCAAACTGAAATCACCTTGCTTATCTACTCCAATCTGACGCCAGGTTGAAAACTGTTGTAAATTTCAACCATACTAAATATCAATCTAAGCAACTTAAAAGTACGGTACAATCTGGGTACAATTCAGAAAAATGACACTTGTCATTCCCCTTCACTCCCTTACAAATCGTAAAGATGCTACAATTAAATAACATTCGTGATATTAATTTCCACTTTTCGCTGCTGTCTTGAAGTGTTGGCGTTTTTCATTCCCGAAATTCTTTTCCAACCGAAGTGACAAGTGAAAAATTGCCTCTGCCGGCCCGATGCAGCCCCGCTACACTAAGAGCAGAGTGTGGTGCTGAGGATGAGCACGTTTGTGGTCACCATACGGCGATGGAAATGTACGACCAGTTGGATATCGTTGAATCTGGAATAGAAAAAGTTTAAAAAGGTTTTACCTAAAGCGAATTTTTATACTATGAATACTCTAGATATGTAGGTAATGACGTGCCCTATTTATGACTTCGTGACAACACGAAGCACGCTTCCCCTAAAAAAGTGTGCCGTCAATATAGTTGGTATTCACCTGACATTCCATTCTTTCACTGATGATTTACGAGAAGGAAAAAGTGTGTACTATTCAAATGGATGGTAATATGATCAAATACTGTTGATACTGAAGAATATCGATGTTTTAAGTTTTTAATTAAGAAATGATGATGAACCTGTCAGAATATTTTGGACAGAGTGTAATGACAGTATATATAAATGTTGCAGATTAAGGCTTTTTTTTTTTAAAGAAAGTGAAAGACCACATTGCTCTGACAGCTTACCTTGAGGTTGCAACATTGAAATGATTTTTGTAAACAATTACATTATTCTCCCATTTACATGATATGAAAAAAATGAGAAGATTGAAAGAAAAAAGAAATTTAAAATTTAAGAAGATGCAATTGTAAGTCAGAATGAATTCCTCTGATTCACAAACTTTGAGTGTCCTCTCAGGATCATCGCAAGGGTCTCATGATAAAGTGTTACCTCCATTAACATCTCAGTACCCTCAATGGAGTAGAGGAGGAAAACTTGGCATTGAAAGTGTGTATCAAAAATCATTTCAGAACGAAAAGGAGCAAGAATCTTCTCTTCATAGATTGTCTAAAGACAATATGGTAAGCTTTATTACCCTTAATATTTATGCATGCTTATAAAACAATAAGAATCTATGTAAATGATGATGCACTAAAGCCTCAGGCTGAATGACTTTCTGATAAAAATTAAAAATGTGCATCACTTTCTGTCTCAGTCCTTCCATATCCATTTTTACAATGTGGAGTACATTAATTAACTTAAGTGAGTGTTATCAAATCTTTTCTTCTGCACCAATTGCTTTCAATCTTCAGTTTTTCTGTTTCATATTTATGGTTTTCTAATGTACTCCTGTTTTGCCTTGGTTCTATGTGAGCTATGACATATATCAATGTTGTTGTTTTTATTTGATAACTTGAGATTAGTGTATTAGATATTATCAAATTGTTTGGTGTTCACCATCAAATTTCATTATCAGTGTATTCCTGCAAGCCCAGACTGGTTGCTCATAATTTTCTTTCTAAATACTTTATTTTTTATTATTATTTGAGCAGTCATAGGGTTGATTTTTATGATGATTCTTTCAGATAGAGGTATTTCATGTGGTTGAATATACAGTATTCGCATTTGCATGGGCATTGTTTATTTGGATTTGCATTTGAAGTGTGTTATTGTAGTTAACAATTGAATTCCCACAGTTAAATATAAATTTTATGTTTGTTTTTTTAAATTTTATGTAAACTGGGGTTATTTACATCATTAAGAAGTGCATTACCTAAAAAAAGCTGTTTAATTTTGTACATTCTTAAAAAATTTGTAAAACAAAATAAATTTGTGCAAAAAATTGGGTGAAGTACAGGAAAAATAATCATAAATACTTTTTCTGTTTTACTCATGTACAATTAAAGCATTGCTCATGATATTTACAAACCTAACAGGAAACAACATGAATTTGGGGTAATACTGTCTCAACTCTCTCATGAGCCAAAGGTTTAGAAGGATGAAAATGAAGACCATATTCTTTAAAAAGTATTTAAATTCTTGACGACAAGCCTCTTGAACAAACAAGGATGGAATTTGTATTAGAGTTCAGTATGATTTAACTCAGACTTCTGTATTCTTCAGTGTACCTTGCAGAAATAATTTTTCACAAACTTGGCAAGTCTTTAAATATTTCTCTATAGAGAATACAATTGATCAAATTAAGAAGTAAGAGCGATTATCATTGGGTTAAAGAAGAAAGTGTCAAGAAGTGTATAAGAAAGCAAAAGCAACATGATTCTTTATCAATTCACATTCATAGGAAACCAATTGAGCAGCAAGGATGCATGTCAAAAATGATGTCTATATATTATTCAATTCACTTTATTACACAATTTAAATCGAATAATATACATCATTAGGCACTTTCTGCTCTTGATGATTTAAAAACAGTAATATGTGAATTAACTTTTTCACCTATAGCGAGGAGAACAAGGCAAACATTGCATTGTGAAAATCAAAGGAATGGTGCTCAGCTGGTGACCACCATTGCTTAATTTGTAAGTTTTTGTGGGTTGGTCCCTTTCTCCATAATGCCATTCAATTATAACTCACGTCCTTTCCAAGTTCGTTCTTAAATAATTTGCCTCTGAAGTCAAAAAAGCATGGGAAAGTGAGCAGAGGAATATCTTGAGACCTGTCTAGTAACTGTGAATGTAACTAGTTTTATTTCCATGTAAGTCATGATTTACTGAATCTCAAAGGAATGTTTATTGAACTTTGAGAATTTTTGACCTTCTTTCAGACATTCATTTGGTCTGTGTGTTATTTAGCAATAACTTTTTGTTGTTTTTTTAAAAAAAGTAGTATTATTACTACTACTATTATTGCTGTTGCTAATTACTTTGTGTTCAGAATTATTTAAGAAAGATTTGTAATGTTGACCTACATGTTTTAATTTTAAAATTTTAACTTTGTTCTGATTAAATACATTTCAGTTATAGTAGTTAATTTATTATTTTGCTTTACTGTGCTTGTCATTCATGTAATCATTCACTAGGAAAATTTGTGTTGTATTTTGTGCATTTCATTGACCCTTATTTCAAGGGATGTAGGTACATGCATGTGGATGCCATCTAGTGAGAAATGTTGGAACCTGTAAGGGGGAGAAGTGTGAAGAAGTGGAACTGGCCCTCCCACCTAGGAAATCCAGATAATCAATACTTAGCTCCTTGCAGTATCATGCAGACACATGGGAGCCATTGACATGGTTGTTTAGAATAAAATTAGAACATATTGTGACATTTGACAGATGATTCAAGATGCTTAAATAAGTGCAATTCTTTTGTACTTTTTTTGTTTTATTGCTAATGGTGATAGTGCACAATTAATATATTGTTTGGTTTATTCCCTTTTATTCATGTACTATTACAAAGACTGTATCAGTTGTATGAAAATCTTGTGAAAACTTGGATTATTCCTTTCATTATTTGTATTCAATTTCATATTTATAAAGTATCATGGCATCAAAAGTCTTGGTGAAAATTCCTACTGTTCCTTTCTCACAAGTAAGTATGAATAAAAAATTCCATTACTCTCAAATTTCTTCACAACTTCTCCAGGAGGAATAATGCAGCATTGTAGAATAGTACATTCAGTAAGTGTGGTAGAAAATGGGAATGCAAATGAAAAAAAAGGTGAAAATAAGAAAAATTATAGTATTGAAATGGAGAAGTTAACTTTCAAAAGGAACTGGTTTCTCTTGTATATTAAAAAAAAAAAGCTGTAAAAGGAAATTAGAAAACCTATTTTCAGGTTTTGAGAATATATTGTGCAATTGACCATGTATAACACAATGTATAACACAATGGGACACTGAAGTGTCATGATCAAACTGCTGAATTTGCACTTAATCAAATTGACATAATACAATATTTCCGTATTTTGCGGGTATCTTCTTCCAATGTTTTTGTGAAATGAGTAGGTTTGATCCTTTAAGTATGGTATTATGAAATCCTCTGTTCTTTTTTCTAACCAATTATTAATTTGCTGAAATGGTTATTTTGGGTTTGTTTCATTAGGGGCATATATGTTTGGTTTCAGGTGAACAAGAAAGGCCCTGAACTAACCGCTGTTGGTAGATCAGATGGTTTAATGGTTACACCTATTGCAGATCCTTTGTTGCGAATAACACAGCTTGAACAAAACATCAGATTTTTACAAGAACAACACCAGTTGATGCTGTCAAGTTTGCATCAAGAAGTGGAACAATTACGTCACAAAAATAGAGGTATTAGGGTTTGACATGAAACTGATTGTTTTGAATCAACTTGCAGTAACTTATGACATGAGTTTAGAGAAGCATTTCATTATTTGTTACTGAAACTAATGAATTTTTGTAATGCTTCCATCCAAAAACATCTTGAATATTGCCAAATAGCTATAGAAGCATATTAAAAACTTAGATATTTTTTAAGGCAACAAGTAAAATGAAATCCAAAATAATACATTCATTCAACTGTATCATTACCATCATTGTTCTCAGTATCATCCTCATCTGCCATTCTTTGGCTTTCAATTTATATTTTCAAACTACACATTCCTAATCTCTGAAACATCAGATGTGATAAAGTATGTTGACATTATTACTTCATGTATTCGAAATAGAGAATTTTGTTAATTGTAAATAAGAAAACTATAGCATTTGTTTGAAATGAGAGTGCTTATGTTACCAATACTATGGTATTATTAAAATTTTCATTTACTGTTTTACAGGATGGGAACAGTACCTGTGCTAGCTTTCATTGGGAATTTTTGTATTAAATGAATTAAAATATTTTTTTAAATCATTGGGAACAAATTTGTAGCCTTTTTTGGTCTTGCAAAAATAACTAATTATGTGTTGGTATTGTTTTGCTTCCATTACATTGTCTTAAATTTACCTTTTCACTGTGCTCTATTTTAGATTTTGGACTTTTTTGTAGGTACTACTTATGAACATTATTAGTGAACCTAATATTTATTTAGTGTGTTTTAAAACCATATCAGGGTTGTGTATTTTTTGGGGGAATCAATAATCATGATTTCAGTTATAAACTGCATCATGAATAGCAGAAAGAGATGTAGAATTTGGAAGTGTTAGGAAATTTCTCTCTGCATGTAAAATGAACAAGTCCCCTTCTTTCTCATCCATGTACTTCAAAATCTAATCTAATAGACAAAACTGCAGCCCATGTTTTGGACTAATAACTGCAAATTGAAGCTTAACCCATGATAAATTATTTAGATTATTTTAATTTTTCAATTATAAATGAATATGACAGACTGACAAGTCCGGTCTACCCCAGATTTGCTCTATGCTTGACAATAATATCTGTTACTGTTCACTCACTCTGTCAGAGCATTATAATGGAGGTATTGTTTTAATAGTGAAGCAACTCCATTGACACTAATTTTGAGATATTGAACCCGAAAGTTTTATGATTTAAAAAAAGATCAAGGATGGAATTAGTCAAACAAATATGCATTTTCTTCTCTTTAAGATATTTTTTGTTTGAAGAAGAGGTGAATAAACTTACTGTAAGCTTTGAGGAATATTGGAGAGTAAAGGAGTTATATCCTCAAAAATAGAAGTTAAGCAGACCAAATTGGTGGTTGACTTTCAAAGGATAAGTTGAAATAAACATAATGTCAATTTATTTAAACAGATTAAATATTAATTTAACGGTTTTAAACATACTTATGAGGCACATTCAGCTTTCCTCATTCTCATGCCTAGGTTGTACCTGCAGATCAGTAAAATATGTTAAATATACTTTTGGGATGAATTGAAACAAATCGAGCATTTCCTGTTTCTTCTTCTTAATAACTTTGCATTGTTATGGATATAGATGTTAGATATTAAAGTTTCTGAAAACTTTGATCTTCCTCTTCCACTGACTGGTTGAAAGGTTACTGTCTACAAAGAATGATTTAAGGTTTACTTGTCCATCATTATAAAAGGTATTAGTTTGACAAATGCTATCCATTTAATTTTTAGCTAGATTCAGACACCATTTTGTTCATTTTTCTTCCTTCTTTTTGTACACTTTTGATGGTCATTTAACACATAGAAACCATTTTGTTGAATTTCTGAATTAAATATAGAAATTGCAAAATAATTAACTATTTTCTATACCAGTTCCTATTAGCCAATCTGGATCAAGATTATAAGCATCGATATCATTGCTGCCACTATAAATATCTTGAAAATCACTCATCATGAAACTTATGGAAACCCATATAGCCACCACTGGAGTACCACTATCAAAATAAATATTAGAAAATTGCAATCTCCAGGGATTTACATTTAATGGCATGCGCTATGTTGTCCACGAAAAGAACTTGTTATTCTACCAATTTCAAAATAAATGTAAAAGCACTTTGCAGATACGAAAATGGAGATAACTCAATTTCTCTAAGTGGAGTTGTACCACTATTAAAATAACATCCACATCTTTGATTACTACACATGCTATAGCTGTTGTAGGGTTGTGTAAAGAGCTGATTTCTGTTGAAGATTAAAAATGTTACCAAAATTTAATTTTCAATACTTTTATATTTTCGTTTGTTTTTTTCCCTCTTTCTTTCAGATTTACAGTTCCAGCTTGTCTTTAGTAAAGGCGGTGTACCCCTAGTTCAAAGTAGCCCTTCATCACCTGAGGATGATGCAAAACCAAAGGTAAGTTCTAAGAACTTACCATGCCTTTAAATATTTTTGTGATTATTACTATGATATTAAGAACAACTGAAAAAATGTAGTTAACAGTGAAGTTTTTTTTTTTTTGTTTTGTTTTTTTCTGACAGATAATACTCAGCCCAAAACAAGCAAATGTTACCCCACTGCAGATTGAACTTTTAGAAAAAGAGATTGCTGAATTAAAATCTGCTTTGCATGAAGCAAAAACAAAGAATGTTTACCTCTCAGCCATTGTTGAAGAACAAAGAAAGTAAGTATAAATTGGCCCTTTTTATTTGAAAACATTTTTTTATTATTTTAACAATGCGTTCATTAACATTTCTAACATTATAATTTATTTTCTCTATGATAAAAAGTAAACTTCGGTAATAAATTTGCTAAGAAGAAATTTGATGTGTGTTCTACAGTATTTTGTTAATCAATGAGTCCATAAAAGTATTGATAATATCCCTTTTTTTAACATTCAAATGTCAGGGCAAAATTTATTGTACATTATCATTGTTATGAATTTAAAGAGATTACATTTTTAAAGATGTAGTTAAAATTTAAAAATAAATTTTGTATATTCAGTATAATATATTCATTATAATATTAATAAATGACGCAGGCTATGTTAGGAGGCTGAGTTAACGAGATAACTATATTTTTTATTACTTCCAGAAAACTTGAAAGTCTTGAATGTGGTAAGCAGGAAATGGACAGTCTTAACTTTAGAAGTACCAAGGCTTCTGCTCAGAGACAGACAACGGAAAAAAATGGTGATGAGAGAGGTGATACAACTGATAGTGATCTTGCTACAAAACTAGAAGAAGCTGAAAAACTAATACGTCGTTTGCGCCGTGACAATGAAGAACACAGAAGGGAGGCAAGTATTTTTAAATGGTGTGTTACCTGTACTTGTTTATGATTACTAAATAATTTTATCTAATCTTTTCTTGACTCTATTCAGTTTCTTCTAGATTTGGATATTTTTCTTTGTAATATGATACTTAAAAACTTTTGCACAAAATTTTTATTTGCTTCAGAAAAGAAATCTTCCCACGTGATATTCTGCATCTACTGAAATTTGAGTTATGACTCACATTTTGACATAAATGTCAACCAAATCTTCTAGAAAAATGCAGATAAATCTGTTATGGTTTCGTAATTTTATTTGTAACATTTGTGTAGTTAGGATTTTAACTCTTTCATTTATTTTCATCAATTCTTTAATATTTACCTTACATTGACAAGAAGTGTTTGAGTGATAGACATAGAGGTATCTTGTCAACAATGATATTATTGTCCATATTAATAAGTATTAGTAGATATTGTAGTAGACTTTGGTACTGTAATAGAAGTTTTTTTTAATTAGCAAAGTCTGTTTTACACATTGAAGGAAATATTTTTCATACATTTTATGTGATGACAATTCCTTGGTTTTGAAACAGATAGAGGAAAACTGTAGATATTGATCTTTTTAACTATGATAAATTATTGTTATTAATTGATAGTGGTTAACATTTCTGAGTATTTGGTGTATTAGAAAAAAATAATGTTTTCTATATACATACTTGTTTCATTGCTGTTATTTTTTTATGTTGAAAAACAATAGTAGTACTTAATTTTGTCATATTCTGTGTTATATTGTATATCATTTTGTGTGTAAACAATACTTCAAAGAAATATTTTATTAAATGCAATTGAGAAATTATTGTTCATATAGTCATTTTGTTTTCCCTGTTAGCTATTTATTCTATTTTGTTAACTATTGAGGGAGAAGGACAGGGCAATAGATATCAAAGCTTTTGAAAAGAAATATGTTAAAAATTAATGTAAAATCAAATATATCAGATATAACCAATATTGAAACAATATGTTTTACAAATGTGTTGCATTATTTATGGTGTTGCTCTGTCTTCATTCCCAGTTGGTGACCATAAAAACCAATTTATCTAAAAATCTGGGCGGTGCTGGGGGTAACCGGCAACTGGGAGCTGGTGGGGGCAACAACTGTCATCGTGGGGGAGGAGGTTCAGGTGGAGGTGCTAACAATCATCATCGGCCTCACAGTCAGCAATCTCAGTCACAGAGATTTCCACCCTTACACTCTCAGAGTTATTGGCATCATGGGCAACATTCCCAACACAGAACTGGGTAAGTATGTGTGTTAAATTGAGATTACAATAAAGAATTGTATTAAATTTCAGAAAAGTACATTTTTCTTTTTTCTTGCAAATATTTTACATCGCGTGTTTCCATCAATCATGTTCTTTAAAATATTTTTTGTACGATTTTATATTGAATGAGAGCATGTCTTGATTCATTTCAAATATGATAATGTGAGATGTGTATAATTTTAATGAAAGGATATTTACATGTATCCTTAAAAAGTATGTTTTAATGTTGAAGCCTAATTTTCCTTATTCATTTGCCATTGAGTATTCTTATTTACAAACCAAAACATACACAGCGAATACCTGGGGCTCATTTTAAGATTTTCCAAATACTTAAAAAAAACAATTTTTCTTCTCTAACATGTACTAAACTTAGCAAATTTCTTGTGAAAGAAAATTAGTAGAAGTAATTTTTATTAAAACCATGGAATCCAACATCATAGGATTTTCTCTGAATATTGACCGGGAAATCTTGTCAGAATTTTGTAGTGTAGATTTGAGATTAATGTTTTCAGTCAAAAAAGTTAATTTGAACTACAGTTGTGCTAGGACTTTTGAGGGAGTCTTGAGTTTTTGAAAAGTAAATTCAACAGATGTGTAAGCTACTCAGAAATCACTCAACTTGATACTAGAGTAATATCATACTCTGTTCCCCAGTTACACAAAATTCAAATACTTCTTGAACTTCATCTGATTTCATCAGATTGGTTTTTATTTGAGTTCATCCCTAGCCCTGGTCCAATTTCAGTCCAAACAATGCCTCTTAAAATGTGTAGATGTTTATAAATAAATATGTGTAATTTGAAATTGTTCATACATTTATACGAATTTGGAAATCAATTATTTCCAATTTCTTGAAAAAAGAGTACTCATATTTTCTTTTTATTTTGAGTAAAATTGAAACTTTATGTCTAAATACCCATAATGTTTTATTTAGAATTCTTGTTCATAAAATTGGTTTAAGTTGTTTGTTATGCCAGTTGCCACAAATATCATTTGAAGTAGCTGTCATGTGATTTTACTAATATACTAGAATTTTTGTTATTCATCAGTTTTAGATGTGGAATTGTTTAGTTTCAAACTGTTAGAGTGAAAACATTTTTTAAGCATTATTTGATGCAGATCTTGTAGGAAGAAAACATAGAATAAGAAAGAAAAATAATGATCAAATCATTTAATTTTATTTTCCCGTTTTGCTTTACTTTTGGCTAAAAATAAATTTAAAAATTGATGTCTTTATTTTTAGAAATCAGATCATTATTCAGTTTATAGATGTTTTCTTTACTTACTAACTTTCTTTACTCATTGTTTTCTTTACATCCTTCCTTACTAATGATGAAGTTGAGTTGGAGCTATTGAGGTATGGATGTTCATCTGTTCAAATAAAGAGTATGAATATTATATTTTCAAGAAGGTTTGAGAATATGAAAAGAAATTGCCTTAATATTTATTCAGATGAGTATTCTAATCAAGCTTTTTTTAAGAACTGCAATGAAAGCTCTATCAAGCTTCTGAATCTTTTCCTTTTATTCTCTGTAAATGTTGCATATTAATATGAAATTGAAAAATATGTTGTTTTATTACTTCTTATGTTTATTGTAAGAATTGACAGTTCTCGTAAAAGACTTTTTCCTTGGGCTATTTATTGAAAATTTATGGTAAGTAAGTATTCTTCAGAAACAAATATAAACTCTTGCTTATTGAGCAGTATGTATATTTAAGTATGTATATTTTCTGATATTTTATCTGATATGACATAAAAAATAACTCCATAACAATATTCTATTAAAGCATTTACATCATTATTTTCCATATTAGTAGATAAATATTCAGACACGTGAAATCTTTGTTTCTTTACTGAATAAAAAATGAAATAAGAATACACACAGTTTTTACTATTTTTTGACTAAATAATTCTAAATAAATACCTAAATAAATAAATCTAAATATTGAACTACAAATTTATTCTTGTAAGGCTTTTATGAATATCAATATTTAAAGAATAAGATAATTATAATTATTATCCACTTTTATTCAATAATAATAATAACTATTAATAATAGTAATTAGTATTATTATTATTATAAATTTAAATTACGCATTAAGAATAGATTTGATTGGTTTATTTCTACAATTCATTTCAACTGTTGAAGTCCTGTACTGAGGAATGAGGCAAATAATTAATATTTTAGTATCCTGTTAACTCTGTACTAATTTTTTGCAGGCATCACTTGTGTCTCCATCACTTGGGAAAGGAAAATGTTTCAAAAACAAATATTACTGTATGGTTTCATTGTCAAACTGTGAATGTTACCTTTTGAACTAAGTATTTAAAAGCAATCTAACATCTCTAGTATTTTTTCTATATTTGTTGTTGTGCAATGGTTGATACATTTTGACTTAAATTTTTATAGCTAAATTAATCAGAATTATAATATCATGTCTCACCCAAGACTTAGAATTTAACATGGAAAATGCTGCTTTTACAATCTTAAATTTTAAAAATTGTATATATTTATGTTTATTATTAATGCATAACAATATTACACAAGCAATGGGTATAGAAAAAATTTAAATATAAGGTGACATTGAGCTTCTCTTATTTCTATTGTTTCTCCATTTTATGAGCTATTTTTCAAAGTATAGCTATTTGGTTATTATTATTATTATTATTATTATTATTATTATTATTATTATTATTATTATTATCATTATCACTACTACCACCATCACCACCACCACCATTCTTTCCTGATGGCTCCGTTCATTTGATATTGTATCCACTAGCGCATTCATGACTTAGAATGAAGTGTTGGGTATTTTTTAATAATTCATTTTCTATGATTAAAACACTTAAAATACTTAAATGTTTTTCTCAACAGCAGAAGTAGAACAACTTAAAAATAACGAAACATGGTATTTATTCTCCCATAATCTAAATGCAAAGAATATCATTGTGATGAATTGATAACTATCTTTTATATCGAATATGTTGGTAATACATTACCTTGTCTTATATTATATATTACATTATATTTTGCAATACAATCCTATACCATTAAAATGGCAGATTCTCATGAGATAGACCCAATGGAGGCAAATGTCATACAAACACATTTTCTTGTATATACCTGTTAACAATGCAGTGTCAAAGCTTGTACTGTTTGTATTGGCAATTCATTTTTGCATATACTAAATTTCTTTACTTTGCATAGTTAAATAGTTAAGTTTACATAGCTATATTAGTTAAACAGAACACTAAGAGGTATGCAGTATAGGCATAACAATATAACACAAAAATATAGCACACCCTACCACAGCTTTAAGTAATAATTGTATATTACATGTGTCAGTAATAGAATTCTTGTACATAGCTAGATATTGAAATTTAAGAATTCTTCAGGACCATGGAAATAGCTATGGACTAGCACAAATTTGGAATAAGTTTTAACATCATCTCTAAATTCATAAGGCAATTTATCAAACACTCTGATTGATGTGCGTTTGAAGTTAAGAAGAATTTTTGTTTATCACAACGAGTCTTGATAACATCATTACAGTCATTGTCATCCAATTATTAGGATGACATTGATAAGCAAAGAAAAGAAGTGAGAAGTTATGTCTCCATTTGGAAGGGTCATTCATGATTTACAGACTCCGGAGTTACTCCGCCTAGGGTTACATAAGAGTTTTGTTTTTAATCAAACAACCACAATTATTGGACAATTACTACCTCTGCACAGTGTGGAGCTCAAATTCCGTGGGACCAATGTGTAGTATGTGAAAGTTATTAAACCAAAGATATGTGAGGCCCTTCCTGTGTAAAAATTCCAGGTAATGAAACTGCTGATAGAGCAGCAAATAATCTTCTCTTTGAAATGAATCAAATCACCTAATGAAGCACCCGTAATGAAATCATCAACAAATTTAAACATAAAATAAAAGAAAACTGGAGTAAAGAAAGGTTAAAGTCAAAAGAAAATGAACTTCATCGAATTAGAAATAATAGTTTTGAATGTCAATCAACTGAAGGGACTAATAGATCTGAATCTATCATTAAATGATTGGACACTGTGACCAACTCATAACTACACATTTAGCAAATCAAATCCTGATGTAAATACCTGCTGCAATTCCACATTTACCAATCATTATATAGTACCAAATACTCAAAAGAGAAGGAAATAATTAAAAATAATTGAAAAAAGAATAAAAAAATTCTTAGCCCAACCAAAATTCTTAAAAATATTATAATTATTACTAAAATAATCTAACATAAATGACAAGATTTATTTTTGTAATGTACTGTCTTATAATTCAAATCAATGAAAAATTTTAATGTGGTCATTAATAATCACGAAGGTTGATGTGATTTCTATCTATCTATTTAGCGTTTTTTTTACAACCTTGGCCGTTTTCTGCATCCCAATTTCCATTCCTCTTTATCCCATAAATCGTTTTCATCTATTTCTCTTTTATCCATGGCTTCAGTTATTGCCATGTTCCAGGTTCTTCTTGGTCTTCCCCTGTATCTTCTTCAATTTGGTATCCACTCCCATACTTTTTGTGAAAGTCTATCTGATTTCAACCTTCTCATTTGTCCGTACCATTTTAGTTGTTTCATTTCGATCGTCTTGTTCAAGGTTGTTTGCACTTTCATTTTATTTCTTATTTCATTATTTCTTATTTTATCTAACAGAGAAAGTTTACAACATCTTTGCCAAAACATCATTTCTGTTGATTGAAGTTTATCTTTCAAATTTTTATGTTAGTGTCCAGACGTCTGCCCCATAGAGTGGGGTACACTCTATGAAGGAGCTATATATGCAATTCTTTGTGTTCATTGAAATAATTGAGTTTCAAAGCACTGTATTCAACTGTCTTGTGGCTATTTTCCTCTTATATTTTTATTTTTTCCATTCTGTTTGTCTCTACCATCTGCTGTTACTGTGACTCCCAAATACTTGTATTGTGTATCGCCTTTAATTATTTCTATACTCGTCTCTAAGTCATGGGGCATACCTCCCACCACCATATATTCAGTTGTGGTACATTTATTTCCATTTCCCATTTTCCATACTCTTCTACTAATTTTCTGAACATATAAGTTACATCATCTTCATCTTCAGCCATTATTACCTGGTCGTCTGAAAATAGTAGACTAAACAATGTTTCATCACCTAATTTCACATCCATGCTTCTGCGCTTTCTTTTCCATTCTTTTAGGGCTTAGGGCTCTTAACCAGGGTTGGAGATAAATAGAAGCCGTAATCCTTTATTTACTGAGAAGTTGTGTGTTAGACATTTTCCCACTTGACTTTTGTTATCTTTATAAAATTGACTGCATTTATGTATGTTGTTAATATTCCTTTTTCTTCCATTGCCCCCATACTTCTTTTACTGGTACATTATCATAAGCCTTTTTGAGATCAATGAAAATTATGTGAAGTTCTCTTTCTCGCTTAATTGTTTTTTTTCCATCAGTTTCCATCAGACAGAATCTTTCTGGTCTAAAACCACGTTGCTCTTCCGAGTCCGATTTTTGCATTTCAATTCTATTATTTAGCATACGCCTATACAGTCTACCCAAGGATGAATTCACGCTTATCCCTCTATAATTATTACATTATTTTTTACAACCTTTTTTGTAAATTGAAATTATATAGGCTAATTTCCATATTCCAGGTATTTTATCTCCTTCTAAAATGCCATTGAATATTTCAATAACTAATTCCAAACCTACAATAGGATAATGTTTAGCCAGCTCTATGGATACCTCCAGGCCCAGGTGCTTTATTATTTTTCATGTTTCTTAACACTTTTTTTTAACTCTTTCAAAGACGCATCTGGTGTGATCGAATTTATATGCAGTTGTTCGTAATTTATTCTCAGAAATTTAGTTCTATTTTCTGTCAAGAGATTTTCATAGTATTTTTGCTATTTTTGGATATACTAAATGCCATTCTTAGGTTATATTCAGTTTCATGGAATGTAACATTTTCCATGCCTCTCTGGATTTGGTGTTACTAGTGCACTTGTCTAATCTGTCACATTTTTGTTCCCAGAATACATTTTTTGCCTTGTTTACTTCATTCTTGACCACATATTTCATTCTGTTGTATTCACATCTGTTTTCTAAATCCTTTGTAGAAAGCCATCTCAAATATAACTTTTTCTTTTCTTTGACCAGGTTCTTTATATCTTCTGTCCACCACAAGTGTTTTTGTTTATATTCACATTTTCTCTTCTCTCCCAAAGCTTCATTAGCGGCTTCAAGAGTGCATTTTTTTTAAAAATTAGTATTTTTCTTCAGTATTTCCTATTGGGATGTACTTTAATTTTTCTACCATGCGCAATTTGTACAAAAATGCAATGGAATCATCATGAAGGTTTTCAATGTTGTATCTTGGCCACATCTGACTCTCTATTTTTCCACCTTTTGTATTTGGTTTTGTGTTTCCATAACTTTTGAAGTACAGTTTATACATGAGGTAAGCTTTTCCTTTTAGTAAGTAGTGATCTGATCCACAGGAAGCACCTCTTTGAACCCGAACATCGCTTCACTTTATTGATGACTGTTGTTTAATTATGTAGTCAATTATTGATTGCAGTTTTCTAGTGGGCTGGGTTCACGTGAAATTATGAATTTCTTTATGTGGAAAATAGCCATTCAATATTTTATGGTCATACAGTGCATATGTCTCTATGTCTTTTTCCATTGTCATTTAATAAATTTTCACCATATCACCCCACAACAGTATGCGCCATTTGTTTTCCAACTATTCCATTAAAATCACCTAAAAACACCACTTCTTCGCGATTTCCAATAGAATCCAGCAGCATAGTCAGTTTCTCTAAAAACATACCTTTTTCTGCAACACTTGCATCATCTATTGGAGCATAAATTCCTATAATAAAAAAACATTGCTTCCTCTTAGTAGAAGATCGAGACATGCTATTCTCTCATCAATTGATTCCCAGCTATGAATATTTTTCTCCAATCTTTTATTATCAGCTATGGACACTCCTGCTCTTGCTCGCTTTTCTTTTCCCACTCCGCTAAAAAAGTGAACATAATTTCCTTTCCTTTAATTTCCATTTCCCTTCGTTTTTGTTTCACTCAACACTATTATATTCATGTTAAACTCTATTGTGTTAAAAACTTCATTTACTTTAATGCTTAAACCTTGAACATTCCACCATCCAAAATTCATAGACCATTTTCCTTGTCTTTTTTAACGTCGTGAGTTAATCCAAGGCTCATTTTCATTGAGAGTTTGGGTGGCTTTTTTTATTTTCCAAGTATGGGGTGCTGGCCCCATGACTCAACCCCTTTCCAGGAGGACCGGCTAATTGTCATTTAGGTTTTCTTCGCTTAGATTGAGTGTCTTCCAAGACTCCGGAGTTCAATCTACCCCTATTTGAAGCACATCTGCTTTCTGAACAGGAAAAAGTGAATCGTAAGGATTCACCTAAGGGTAGAAAATGGAAGCCTCTGAGCTACTCAATCCACCCATTAGTTCCCGGGGTTCCGCAAAGGATTTTAGGTAAGAAGGATATCTTAGTTACAGACAGCGGTTAGCCACTCCTTTTTAGGTAGGAGAAAGCAGGCTAATTGCTGCATTCCCCACCCACCAGTAAGGGCATGCAGGCCGATGGGGTTGCTACATCCCTACGCCATATGTTGTGACTTTTTTCTTCTATTATCCTTCACAATTACATAATTTACAGATTTATAATTTATTTTTTTATTTATAATGTGACTTTAAATAAAAAAATAATAATTCTGTAAAATGTAATTGTGAAGGATAATAGAAGAAAAGTGTGAAGAAGTAAAGACCTACAAGTTTGAAATGGGAAAAGGGGTAATACACTTGTCCGCTCTCCGTACTTTTCCATCCTTCTTCCCTAAAATTCTAACATGGCTCAGAGCTGCTGCATTGAAAGAGGCCACTCTTATGTTCCCCTCCCTGACTTCTGCACCAAATGGGAAGATGTGATTATTTTTATAGGATAAAACATATCAACCATTTTTGTTTTCTTTTCCTGACTGAACTAGTTAGATTTTCGAAGCAGCTGACTGACTAGTAAAACTGTGTTAGGAGATGATTGCCAGGTTTTGAGTGAAATTGTAATATAGTTAGTCTTTCCAGAATAATACGAAAATATGAAATTTATTTCACAGGAGATTCAACTTTAGTACTAAAATTTGTTAGTATTGCGTGTCTGATTCTTGTGTTATTAATTTATGCAAGTTGTGATCCAAGGACTAAGGAAAATAATTAATCAACATTATTCCATTAAGTCATGTGCATTTTTTCTTTCATTAATATACCATTATATTTCTAGAATTTGAAAACTATATCCTAGTAAACAGTTTTACTTTTGAAAATATAATACAAATTAGCTCTATAAAATTAATATAATACATTTTGATGTTTGATATAATGAACATTGATGGATTTCGTTTCAGAATAGAATTTGTATCTCATCGCCATTGCGCAAATGGCAGAGGTGGTGGTGCGGGAGGTGCCGGCGTAGGAAGTAGTGGTGGCAACAATAGTGTTATAGGAAATGGTGCTCGACTAGAAAAGGATAATCAACTAGTGGGACGCCCTGCACCTGCACTACCAAATCTTCGCAACAATTCTTCTAACCATTACACTTTCACAAACGGTAATGGTAATAATAATGGCCATAACCATCGGCGTGGTGGGGGCCATTATAATGGCAATAGCAATCATTATTATAGGGGTGGAAAAGGTGGAGGTAGAGGAAACAGAGAAGCTAGAGAAGCCAGAGAAGCGAAGTAAAATCATGCAGCAGCTCAACTAGTTCTTTTTGTTATTGTAATTAACTTATTTGTTAACAGTTTTGCTTATTAAAAGGAGCCTTGTGCCACTTCTCATTGTAACTCGAGAATATAGAGAGCACTTTTGTGGTTTGTTACATCATTGCACCAGTGAGACCAAAAAAAGACTTTGTAGATAACAAAGTGCATTATTTATCTTATAAATTAACTATATTATATAAGAAATATCAGTATGTCTCAGTTTGTTGTTTCTTTATTTTTTGGGGTCTTGTATACATAAAAAATATACAGGGTTCAGTGACAGAGGAAGGAAAAGCTATTGCTTCAAGTAAAAGTATGCACTAACTAAATATATAAGTACTTGAAATAAAAGGAACGATACGAAAGCCTTTCTGCGCATAATTACTTGTGAAACAGAAAGAAACTAGTAATTCAAAGAACGAAATTGTTCAATTTTTTGTGGGCAGTATATAAACTTGAATCCTTTTACTCCTTAAAATTAATTTCTTTTTCTTTTAAATGTGATTAACATTTCTCAATTGTACTTATTGCTTCAAAAATCTTCTCTCATAATTTGCCAACATTTTAATTTGTTCTGTTGTATCATGTCTTATTTTTTTGAACCAATTGCAAGTTCTTAGTCAGAATGGATGCAAGTAGGTATTCAAATGGTACATGTATATTGACTATCGGTATATAAAATGGGTAGTAGTGAAATGTGTGTGATACTGCCAACAGTTTTTGTATAGTATTCAGTTTCACTTTGTTTTCAATGTCATTTCTAGACACTAAATACTCTTAATTTTTAATGAGTTTCCTTCACATTCACAACAAGTAAATGTGAATATATCTCTTAGATGTATGAAAAATGTGAAAGAATATTTCTATGTAAAAAAAAATGTATATGATCTTAGTGCTTGATACTCTTGGTATTTCTCTGTGTGTTTTTGGAAGATGAACATGTACTAAACTTAACCATCTTCAAAATAATTGTGACATACATTTAGATGCAAAATCAGGATAGTTGGCATCACATGGTACTGTAAGCTTTATCAAAGCTGTAAGTTAATATACATAACAGATTGTAGAGGTTATTGTTCTCACATTTTGGTATTGTTGAGCTTATTTATTTAAAATTATAGGTGTATAAAAAGTCGTGCAAAAATTATGCATGCCACCAGAATGATACTCATTTCACGTATATAGCTAAGTTACAAGTGAAATAGCTATTAGGCATTCAAGTTTAGCTTTGTACTTAAAGGAATATTTACCTATATGAGTAACTATTCCATAGTACAAATTCTCACATTTCACTTAATATATTTTTGGGAAAAGCACTAGCTTTGAAGGTGTTCATATTCACGTTTTCTCATTCTAGTCGTGTTTATGCCATACTTTTGGCACCTTGTAATCAGTATAATTTTCAAATACTTTCTTCTAGTAACTGTTATGATGCAATGAGTAGTCAGTTTGTGCAGGCTTCTAATTTCTGTGTAAAACTAAAGCCTGTTCTAAAAATGGGTGGTGATTGGGTGAGTTGATCTGGTTGCAGTGAAGTGTGTGTTACAGTTTTAGTTGTCTATCTCCAGTTATAAAACTAAATTTATGTTTGTGAACATTGTAACACAATTATTGGTATTTATTTATTTTGTGCACTATTACTTAAGTATTGTTCTCTAGCTTCCCGTGCAAGTTGAAAGTGTCAGGGTTCTCATGTTATGTTTATTTGCATTCTAGAAATTTGTATATTTGTCATGTTTGTTTGAAGTATTTCAGAATTGTTTTATTCCAGAATTAGTATTTGGTAAACATTTGATTTAAAATAAATAATTATGAATAATATTTTAATTACTTGTCAATAACCTTTTCCTTCATTGCCACTGCATTTTTCTTCCAACTAGTAAGTAGAAATTATTCTCACTATAGAGATGGAGAAATACAACAAAACCTTTTTAATTTCTCATATATGTAAGTATATACAAAGTAATATAAGTTGTATAGAGAAAATGATGCAATGCTGTGGAAAGTGGACTTCGAGATTTCAATGGAAATGCACAATTTGTGGTTCTCTGAAACTGAAAAAGTGTTGTTGGTACTTTTAACAAAATGTAAGTGAACTAGCCATAGGGTTTTTTTTTCCAAACTAAACAAACCTCTGTCCATCTGGCCTCTTTTGAAGCACTACAATTTTGAAAAACATTCATTAATTTTTGGGGCTACTTTACACAAAGGTCCAGGACATTTCCAAAATTTTTTCTTAAAATTTATTGTAAGTATAGAATGAAATGAACTTATAAATGTGACATGGAGCATTCGAAAATTGCAAAAGTTAAAATTTTTTGGTATCTTCCTACAACTGCAAAATAAAAAATAAAGATATTTTCTTCCAATAAAATTTGTTACGTTCAATGTTGCATTCAATATGTACAATATTAAAAATAAAAACAAACAAATGTTTCTCAAAAATGTCTCCAAATTAGTTCTTTTTTTAAACTTTCAGTAGGGATACTGCTAAATGTACTGTAACAGATAATGTAAACTTTTGCTCTGTATTTTTGTTTTTTCAAAAATCACAAAAATGTAATTTTCTTGACTTGTCTCCCATGTTAATATTTACATTAGAGATGATTTGCTCACATTGATGACATAAAATTCATTTTGCTGTATTCTTTTGTTTTGTTTTTTTCAAAACTACACAAATGTATATTTTATTATATGTCTCATGCTGTTGATATTCACATTACCAGCAATTTCTATACATTATTGCATCTTCAAATGATTTCCAATGAATTTTCTCAAAACCTCAAAAGTTTTCTACAAAAAAGAGTTTTAAATTTTGCAATTTTGCATTTATAAAAACTCTTAAAATATTGTTTCTCTCAAACAGCTCCAAATTTTTTAGGGAAAATGTCCATATACAACAAAATTTTATTCTTCTCTAATAATGTTAGTTATTGGAGGGTTTATCCTCACCTCAAGGTGAAAACCTTCGACAGTCGACCATGAACAGTAAAAGTGAAGTGGAACGACTCAAGTTGTTCAATGTGGCCAATCGAGTTAATAATAATAATAATGTTAGTTATATTTCAGGTCTACCATGAGGGGATCAAAAAGTGAGAAAAAGAGGAAAAATGTAGTTATAGGGCGGTGATAGATGGCAACTGCAAAGAGAGTGAGGCAAAATCAAGCCCTGACCACAGAAATTAGAAAAATAATAGTAAAAGTCTGAGCCATTCTGTAGCACCACTAGTTAATTCTTTCTGTTCTCATGCAAAATGCTGATCAAGTGCTTGCACTCAAGTGCTATATATATATATATATATTTTTTTTTTTTTTTTCAACAAGATTTTCCCCAAAAACAGCTCCAAATTTTTCCTTAAACTTTGTAGGGATGGTGCTAAATGCACTCTAAAAGATGACATAAATGCCATATTGCTCTATTCTTTTGTTTTTCCAAAAAATGTAATGTTTTTGAATTCTCTCACGTCATTAATATTTACATTATCCACAATTTGATCGCAGTGATGTATTTATAAGTATATGCACTTTAAATAATGTCAGGTAAAGTCAACAGGCTTGAAAGTCCACTTTTTCAGAAGCACTCAAACGCCATTTCCTTAAAAACCCAAATTCATTCTTCAAACTTTTTGTATGGATAGTGCAAATTGCATTGTTAAAGAAGACAAAATTAATTTAGCTGAATTACATTGTTTTCCAGAAAATACACAAATGTATTTATTTAAATATCTTTCATGCCTTCAGTATGAACAAATCTACTAGTTCGTTTACATTATTGCACTTGTGAGTGGAAATACTTCAAATGAAGCATATCGAGAACAAACAATTTCTGTGAAAAAGATTCAAATTTCGCAGTTACAGTAAAGCATTAAATATCATTTTCTTGGAAACGGCTTCAAATTGTTCAGTGAAATTGCCATTTAGGACAAGGTTTTACTCTTCTTTAATATCCTTGAAGTAATATTCAGTTCTATTTGAAACCGATGATAAATGGCAGTCAGCAAGTATGTGGCAAGTCAGAATAGTTAGCCCAGACCAAAGAAAAAAGAACACTAATACTAGAAAGCCTGTGCCATTATGTAGCACCACTACAGTTAGTAGTTTATTTTTTAGTGGGGGGAGGGGAGCGCTAAGTTTCAGCATTGCTGAAAATTGTCTAGCTCTGAAACTGCTCGCACTACATTCTGATTCTCACACTATATTTTCACTATATCATTACTTACAAGGGCGGTTTGATTGGTATAACTAGTGGGACTAAAAGAGTATATACATTCTTGCCCGTACTTTCAAGAAAAATAACGCGAAAAGTACTCTAACTTTTGAAAATTTGTACAAGACCTTATTTCAAAATCTACTTTTAAGGAACAGATTTCAGTAACGGAACAAATATCTTTTTGGAAAAATCATATGCAATGAAAATGAGACCTGCACCATCCTCATAAATGTCCTTTACACTTTCTAACAACAAAATTTAATCAAAAGCGACAGACATTTTTTTAAAATTCTGAGGATCTCACAAGTGTTTTATGTAAAGTACCCCCAAAAATAAAATATTAGATTCAAATTCAAGGCCCTGCGACATCTACCCCATTGATTAGGGAATATCACTTGGTCATCACAGGGATTGTGCGATATTACCTTTTTTTTATGACAATGACTCACCTCTGAAATTTTTTTGTTTCACCATATTCTTTGTTTTGGGTTTTCTCTTTCATTTCATTCTGTATGTGACTCTTAATAAGACAGTCTATACTGTCCTACTCCACAAAGCCAAATTTTGCCAGTTCTATCCGATTTGTTCGTCGTACTTCCCCATCTCATTTATTTGGTTATTTCATGCAATACTGCTCGCCTGTTTGCACTGACAACTCTATGCAAATACCACTGCTCTCGGTCATTAAGCAAGTATCAAGTCATATCAAGTATTTGCTGTATACAGAATCCCAATACATGCTTTGAGATAAAATTTGGATAAATTTTTGAATGTTAGTTAATATTTTGTTATGCTCATTTTCAGAAGCATGATATTGCACAGATAATTTGTTCCTAATCACAATGTATTTTAACTTACCTTGTGAAAAAACAATTCACATTTTTTCTTCTAATTTTACATAAACTAAAAAAAATATTAAAATAAAAAAAAATCTTGAACTTTATTTTTTTATTTTACATAAAACAAATGTAACAACTAATGTAGTAAAATATACACTATTGTATGTAATGTACCAGTTCATTTACTTCCCAAGGAAAATATTTACAAATTCCTTTACTAAAAACAGGTCACATCACACTCTCGCGTTTTACTGTCTTCTCTGAATATATACCAAATGCCTAAATTTCTTTTGTCTTCCTCTTAAATTCATTATCTATGAACTTCAGCCAGTTTTCATTAAACACAAAAATTGTAATGAACAGTACAGGAATTTGGAGTAGCTTAATATTCTTTAAGGAATCATTAAGTTATGTTTCAGCTTTGACTTCCAACTAAATTGATCTCATTTCAAGTGAAGGTAAATATTACACACAAATGAAGTTCGGAAAAAATTGTATTCTCAATTTTAAGGAATATACATTTTGATGTTGCATCAATCACATTTGATGCTCACATTAACAATATCAACATTTATCTACAGAGTTCACTACACAATTGATAGTACATGTGAACTATTTCAGTTAATGTCTTTACATACATTTTAACTTTTTAGTAAGACGAAGTTTCTACGAAGCTTCAAAGTTGGATATCTGAAACAAAAGTTTACATTGATTAATCAGAACTCGTTTAAACAAAATTATTCTTAGTTTATATTAAATTAATGTAAACAATGATAAACCCTAAAAACTTTCTTACAATTTCTTCTGGTCTTAACACACTGATGACAAGCCCCAACATTTTTCATGGTACAGAGGCTTCACAATTTTCACTTTTTTCAGAAACATTTAATGGAAGTGTTTTAAGTCTTATTTGTCTGTTGAATGCTACATTATTTGAAACATAGCATTTTGTGGTACGTTTAAAAGTGCCTTAAACATATTTGATTTGTTACCATCTTTTTCTCCTCAATGTATACTCTTTGAAATACAAAATTTCATCCTCCAATTCTGTTTAAACAGATCTCTCTCTACATATAATACTTAAAATATTAATAAATGCACAGAATCTCCTCAAACTCCACCAGCCTAATGAATGACATTTGTCAGTTTCATTCCTATTCGGAGCAATGAACTGAATTTTTTCAATGTATTGATCAATTATCATGAATGATTATTAACAGTGCAGTAAACTTTCTCTGGTGTGCCAAAAACTTCCAATACCAATGGGTAGTCAGGACTTTGATTACCCGGTCACCTATGTGTTGAAGACTGCAATTTCCTGTTCCTTTTGATATGAATCAAAGAGCACCGACAATCATCATTATCAGAAATTAATAGAAAATTTACAAAATTTCAAGTCAATCAAACCACCCTTACTGTTACATTTGACTGGTTTTGGCAGTAATAAAAACAAAAGTTGAAATAATATTATTTAATAATATATGCATAGATTACAAACAAGATACTAACTGTTATTAACTTTACACTGACGTAGAGCTTCATTGAAACCTTCACAAAGTGAGAGGTCACTCTGGCCTTGAGCACACTGTAAAAATTGCTTTATTTCCCAAGAACAGGGGCCTGTTGGTTCTTGTCCTGCATATGAGTTTTGTGCCTGGGGCTGAGCCACACCAGCTGGTTGTGCTGGAGCATCACTTCCACCACTGAACATTCCTGTCATGGCATGTCCAAGAGTGTGACCCTGCAAATCAATTAAAATTTCAAAATAAATAAAAATTATAATAAATTAAATTAATATATAAAAATTACACAGTATATACTTTTGAATTTAATAGAGGGACTTCTGGTACATCAGCCAGCTTGATTTTACAATAGGGAGCTTTGTTACGACATGAATTTTGGGTACTGAAGCTCCTGATTAGATAACCGCATCACAGCTGATGATGTGTCGGTAATTTAAATTAAAGTGAATGCAATTTGAAGCTGTTAGAAACATAGCTATTGACAGAATCAATGTTGGGAGATGTCCAAGTTATTTCTGATCAGCAATAAATATATTTTGACAGAATTGTACAGAACAGTACCAACTAACAAAACATGGTGATCACTAGCCTCCAAGTAGGGAAAGGCATTTTACCCTTTAGGCTACAAAAGCCACAGCACCCTTACAGTGTTTCCAAAAGTACTTTCAAATCAAAAATAATTAAACTACAACACCATGATCACCCAACTGCTTTCTAATACATCCAAAATGTCTTACTACAATTATGTACGATTGTACATTGTAATAACTCTAAATACAACAAAAACTACCCTTTTTAACAGAATTGCGCATTAGTCACTAAATTCCTTAATATTAATGAATGTCAGTAGACTTCTAAAGAAAATCAACAAACAATGGTGCCTCTCAATTATGTATACTTACAACTGCAGAGCCAACAGCAACACCACCTGCAGTAGCTGCCATTTGCTTAAACATAGAGGGTTGTTGCGGCTGAGCAACCATAGGTGTCTGTGGGGGAGCATGATGGTGTACTGGTGCTGGAGGGGGTGCTGCACGAGCAGGCAAAGTTGCTGCACTGTGGGCAAAAATTGTAACTTTATTTCAGAATATCTCGTATTACGTAATATACAAACTTTTAAGACTTTCTGACCATATATGCCCTATCCAGCAACTCGTGCAAACAACTACAAACAATTTAAAATGTAACAATTACAGCTACATATTACAGTCAGGTAATGTCGCTGCATAAAATTGCATTTATTCTTGTCATGAATGGATATTATATTCCTTTCTACTATCGAATGTTCATGCTAGGATTTTGTGAAATACCGTGGTGGTGGAGAGGCGCTGCGTCCACGTCGCGGCATGACTTTCTGTGGATATTCTCCTAAATTCTTTGAGAAAACTGGATCAACTCCAAATATATTCCAGGTATGCACTTGTTTTAGTACGGTAACACTATTCGAAGGTAAAACCTGAATTCACAAAACTTGAAATCGCAACCAAAGCCTCTTTAGATGCACTGATTCGACTCTTGATGCTTAACCTTGCTCGACGAAATATATTCTAGAACAAGAAATGACGTCACTTGCACGGTCGGCGCTCAGGATGATGGGAATTGTCAAATGACTCGTTGCTTCTCTTTGACGCTTATTTCATCAGAAATGTTGATTATCGCATTCATTATAACATCTATCCATATTTTCACACATAACTTAGCTCTCAAGATTGGAAACCATATGTCCTTTTTGTCTCAACATATTCGCCAAATTAAAAACTGTATAACTTTCGTCCTTGCTTTCACTTTCTATATTTCTTGACTTCAGAACTGAAGGAACTCTGGTTGATAAGAATTTTTGAAAATGGCATCATTTGAAAATGGTTATCAATAGAACGGGAAAGCAATGGAATATACTGAGAGATTTCAGTTTTCCAACAAACCAATATACGACGATACGCCTCCTAAAATGATAAATAAAGTTGCTTAGTAATAGTTCTGATTTTGTCTTTTGTTTCTGTTACGGCGAGATACGGTTTTACCCCAGTGTAACTCTCACATCGTGGTTTCTATGCACACGATTACAATGTTGCAAGTAGTGGAAAAGCATTCTAGCGGTTCTACAGAAAGTTCCCAACCTTTACTGAGCCGCCGACTCCTGTAGAAGAAAAATACCCAATGCCCCCGGAATCCCCAAAAGATAATTTACATAAAATATCACCATGTCATCTCATATTATTTCAGTAGTATGCATGCCTTTTGCGGCTCTCACACGCAACAGATATTTATGAATGAGGTCTCTAAAGAAAAATAATTTCACGGAGACAAGGCGAATTGCATTTGACTTCAAAAATATGAAGGGTTAGTTTTAAAAAACGCATCTAAATATTCATGTCAATTGCAACCCGCAGCACTCAGTCATATATCCTGTTAAATAATTCATAAACAAAGCATTCTAGGGACTTAAAAACTAAAATTTTGAACCCTGAGGCTTCAAAGATACGTAGTTCCATCGTAGTCTACAGGATAAGATATTCTGGGACATTCTATTGAATTTTTGCTGGCGGCACTTCTTAATAATTTCAATACCACCTATATTTCAACCCTCTGTGATGGTGGCCATCTTTGTGACATCACGCTTAGAAGGCTTAGATTCCTCTATCTTATACTATTTACCCTTTCTGTATACACCGTGGTTTGCGCAGACTAACGAGATTTATTTGCATTATTATTAAAATTCGTCTACACATCAACAACCAGAGGTGCTATTAATAGTTGCTTGATCCCGATGAAGATTGTTTCTTATGCGTGTAGTGAACACATCAATTTAACAATTTGTCGAGGTCTACAAGTGCTGTGTACCTAATTGTGGAGGGATAGGGGTGTACAGTGAAGAGGGAAAACGTGTTTTGTTAGGTTTGGTTTGTGTTTTACCTGTACCAGTATTTTCGTTATCAGCAGTTAGTCGGTAAAACTTTCAAGTCAGCGTGTTCAATCACGTAGCGTTCTCAAGAGTAAAAATCTTTTTTTAAATATTTTTGTGACTATCACGAAAAGTAAAAAGCTAACTGTCAAGGAAGATGGAATAATTACGTCAAAGGTTTTTGACGAAGTGTTAATTGTTCAATGAACATATCTATTTAATACTGAATAAACCTTTATTGAGAATTTGTTTCCAACATCAATTGCCTTGTTTTTATTTTTATTTGATATTCCGTAAGTACGAGTTACATTTATAATTTTTCTAAACAGTTAATCCGTTTCATTAACAAATTTAATTTTTAATGTAAAATATAGAGAAAGGGTAGGGATTGACATGCGAGAGTTCTCGCACGGGTGCGCTAGTTGTTTCATACTTTTGATACCTACCCAATTTCTCGGTTCATTTATTTATTAAAATGTTGGTTTGTAGGATTTTCCATGGCCCGAGCTGCTTCATTAAATGCGAAAGCAATATCAGGATGCGCATCTGTAGAAAGGTACATTAAAAGAACCCACTGCCTCACGATAAGGAACCTTGGTGGTGATCCTTTCCCCTTCATCCCTTGCGCCCAATCGGAGTAGTCACTCCGTTCGTTTCGGTCATTCCAGATCTTTCCAAAACTTTTCGTGTGTAGTCTTCTTGATCAATTGTTATTGATATATTTTCATTTTGATGTATTCTCATACTTAAGAAGTTTCTGAGAGATCCTCTTGTGGTATAAAATTCCTGGTGTAACATTTTCATGAATTCCTCGAGTTCTATTCGAGTTGCAAACCGTCATCCACAAAAATTACAACATACACGTTTTCCATCTTTCTTGCGGTATAATAGACATGGATCGGCACTACTGTTTTTGAATTCAGCTTACTTCATAAACTTCCCAAAGCGTTTGTTCCAACAGCGCGGTGCTTGTTTCAGGACTTTACAAGCTTTTCTTCACGTAACACATTCGTTCAGTATTGTCCTCAAAACCCTCCGGTTGTTCTATATACACGTCTTCTTCAAGTACGCCGTTCAAAAAAGCGTTTTTTTTTCATCAAATTGAGCGAGATTCATTCCAAATGCAGCACCCATCGCCAACAAGATCCGAATGGTTTCATATCGAGCAACAGAGCTGAATGCCTCTTCATAATCAATTCCCTGTCTTTGTACGAAACCTTTTGCAATCAATTGAGTCTTGAAGCGGACTTTTCTACTATCCAATAGTTTCTGGTAGAAGACCTAGCGATGCTTCATTTTTCTTCGCTATCTTCAGTATTGTAAATATAGGAAGACGCGATATGAAATATAATTTTGGAATTTCGAAAATTCAGAGTTAACACTGAAAATCGGGCCTATGCCATCATTACAAGTGAATTCTTTTTACTCTAATCTTACAGAAATTTAAAGGAAAAAAATGATGCCATTTTTGAGAAAAATTTGAAAGTATTTCAGGAATTTCATGTAAAGTACCTCCAAAAGTTAGAACTTTAAAGTTAAACGTTCTTCAGACTACCCAACAACAAAAGGGAAACAAAATCGATGGCGTCATTTTTTTGAAAATTTTGAAACTGTTCCAAAAATGTAGGCTTACATCAAAGATTACGTGCCTACAGCAACTACATGGAGCAACGAATGAATAAAAATGAATTGGCGAAGTAAACGTTAAGCTAGCTCACTAATGGAACAATAAAATATTTAACATGAATAAATTTAATGTTTTACATGTAAACCATTTGGTCTTATAATTACAAATGTAAAAAATGTAATCGTCAGTTGTGTTTACCCGTTCTAAAAAGTACGTAGCAAAACTGTCAGATGTGACTAGTTTTTTACTTACTAATATTTATACAAGTATTTACTCTCAAATCTGTCTTTACTTTTCGTGGGAAGTACTGTTTTCATGATTTTGTCAATTTATTCAAATATTTTATCCACAATATGTTCAGTTCCTTGGCTATATGCAAATATTTCTTGCAAACTCAATGCAAGGCCCACTAAAATAGACTTTTTTCAGAAGCAATCTGACGTCATCAGATGTACGTATCAAATGGTAAAGATGTGCTTGAATTTCTCAAAATTTAAATTATTCTTAAATGAAAATGAAAATATATTGAATGTAACATTGTATAAAGGAGTACATATACATGAGTAGTATATGTACTCCTCTTTATCCACTCATTTCGTTAATTACTATAATGAAATAGGGGACCTAGAAATGTAGTTGTTTAGGCTGCGCACGCCTATGATGTTGAGACAATTAATTAGCTGTCAAATAGTTAAATTAAAAAGTATGAATACAGAAGGTTGAAATGAAGCAAACTGTGCAGATAGAAATTCTTGCAAGAAGAAAATGAAAATAAGTAGTTGTAAGAGACTTATAGACGACAGGAAGCTGTTGTAAAATAATGTTATACCTGTTAAATAAATAGTTAAAAATTCTAGCTCTAGTTTTATTTGATTCTGGTACGGTTAGCGGGCCAGCCTGACATCAAAATACGGGATAATCCCGTCTTTTAAATTGAACGGTATAAAATTGGTTTTCCGGTACTAAATTAGAAATAAAAGTAAAGAAATTGTGGCACTATTTTTGATCCTTCTTTTGTTAGCGGGCAAGATTGATGTATCCGTTGTCAAGTTATGCGAGATGGTAAAGTTGCGGCGCAGATCAGGTTGCATGTGCGCCTGTTTTTCCGCCTATCCCATTTTCTTCGAACTTCTATCTTTTTCGTCTTAAATCTAACGCAGGACTGAGGGTAGAGTTTACACGTGACATCTGAGCACTCTTTAAGCATCGTCCATAAATTACGTAACGCCAAAGAGAGGGTTTGAGACAGGTTTAGTCTGCGTTACTTAGGGGTATAGGGTGTTGGTTTGATGTTATGTAATGCATATATTTCTTTTTAGTTTTTTTTTCAACATTTGATAAAATAATTTCTATTTTAGCCGTATTACAAAACATTAAAATATTAACGTTTAAAAATATAAATTAAAAATTTAATGTGCACCTCTATAAATTGTTACAATAAATGGAAATATTTTTTCATCATATTTCACTTTTACATTATGGGTGTAATTTGTGGACGGCCCCTAACTACCCATCACTAGCAAATAAAATCGTCAACTATCCTTGCTTGAAATGCCTTATTTAATGACATACTTGAAAAAGTTCAAATCGTTTGTTGCAAGGAAGCTTTCATGATTCACTAAAATGAATACTTCTGGTATAAAAGTGAAAAAACAATAATAATAATAATAATAATAATAATAATAATAATAATAATAATAATAATAATAATAGTTTCTAACAATGTATGACAAGATATAATATTTTAATAGGGACATTACGTACACAAACACACTCCTTTTATTTGTATTATAGAAGATGTCTGTTATCGAAATACACGGATCTTGTCGAATGTAGATAAGGAAGAAAAAGGTGAGAACTCACCAGAGATTACACCAAAGGTCGCCAGAACTCTTATCTTCATGAACAAAACAGGTAATTTAAATGTTCACCATAAAATTAATTCTGTATTATTTTCCTTTAAATCCTAGGCCTACTGATTTTATTAAAATCACGTTATTATTAAAATTCCATCAAGTTCATTCGGTTGGCTCACCTATGAGAAACGAAATTGAGTTGCACAACGTTTAACGGAAATAGACAGCTCGTGAGTTTCAAAAATAACTCGCGCAATCTCACTCCGCGTTTCTTGGTTCTACGCACGTGACGGAAGTATTACAATTTATGTCGACATTTGACAAAATATTTCGTTTTTTAAAAACATATTTTCACGCATACTTTTGCAGATTTGTATACTGATTTCTGATCACTCTTTTTAGTAAATATATTTCTTAAAAAATACTTATAAAATAAATATAAACATTCTAAAATAATATGGTTGCATTGAGTTTGTTAAGTAATGCAACAAGAAACTGGAAGTGCTACAACAGAACATATAACTTTCTCTTATTATTTATAACTTTTAAATTTACATTAAATGGAAATAGAATCTGCGCTATTTTTATAAGTCTATTTCGGATTATCCGGGAAGAAAAAGAAAGAAAAACGAAGCCTTTTGAAG